ATCTTTTGTCTGTGTAGATTACAACCACACCCTTCACAATTTGCATCATTGATGTAAGTAATCACAGTTGACACTGACAGTGCAGGCACCTACAGTAAACAGAGCTTCTACATGTATAGTACTTGCATTGCATATTTTACGGCAAATTTCGTATTTATACATAATATATAAATATGTACATGTTGCAAATTGTTACTGAATTGTATAATTCTGAAAATAATTTTGAAAATATGAAAGATGTAAATTATAATTTAGGAATCAAATTATTACTGTAGAATGTAAATACTTGTCTCAAAATGATGCCTTAAAAAAATTGTACATAAACAGTTAAATTTAAAATGTAACATGCAAAAAGTATATTATACCATAGATTATGTTTCTGTTAATTGTGAAATTTTATTTAATGAACAATAGAACTGGTAACTTAATTTTATCATCAACATAACTAGAGATCCTGGTTTTGTTTTTTTTTTAAAGTTTTTCTGAATAAAAGTTTTCATGTTTTCAGGTAATGATTTCACTTTTAATTCATTCAGTAATTTATGACCATAGAATTTAACAACAAAATTGGGTCTTTGTAAAGTCTTACAAAAGACATAATTTAATATTTTACCCAGCTAGATAAGTGCAGTTTCCATGATTTTAAGTTGCAAATAAACTATTCATTGGAAAATCCCAATATGTTGTGAAAAGTGAATTCAGTGCTTGCTTTAATAGTAATGACTTAAATTTTGTATATATGCCAGCTTATAGTTAATGATAATAGTTAAAGGTGTTGCTATATGTTAAATACAAAGCTACTACTACAATATATTTAGAGGCATATATAATGACCACACCTTTTTTTCACCTATGATGATGCAATAAAAAAAATATAGTGACATAATTTTTTTTTTATTTAAATACTAACCTAATCCATTCGCAATTGATAAAAATTGTGTGTTACAGCATTGCTGTCACAATAGACACAATAGTGATGAACAATTATATTTTATTCTTAAGCTTGTGAACCATGACATGGCTATTAAAAAATGCTGCTGTAGCCACACCCACTTTGTAATTCTGTCTGCCAATCAAATTATACAAATGTGGGCATTTATAAAAGAAAGAGCATTTTACTTGCTGAACTAAACCCACATTTGTATTGTAGTTGCATTTGGCATTAGCTGTCATATCAGCCAAACATTTTCAAATATCTTTCAAACACTTTCAAATATCTGTTAGTACACTTTTATCTGGAAGCATGTTGTGGTACATCGGTAGGACTTCAGGCTTACTGCTGATAAGCTGTGGGTTTGAGTCTAACTCTGGTCACATTGTGTCATTGGGCAAGACACATTTTCTAAGTTTGTCTCAATTCATAGAAATTATATTCAAAATTATTCCACATCCAAAATTTTAATCTAAATCATCTACTATGCATCAAAATAAAAAAAATAACAAAATGGAAGAAATAATTTAGTAAACTATAAAAATAATGTTCATCTTTGTTTAATTGTTATTAATAATTACTATAAATTATACAGTATAGTAATGTAGCAAAGAATTGTGAATGAAATTTAGGTCACAACAGGTGAATGAAATTTAGGTCACAACAATATTTTATTATGATGACCACACCCAAGTCTGTTTTGCAATTAACATTTTTTTATACAAATTTACAATAACAAATGCAAATAATAATATTAGTTGTCAATGTGTAGTGAACAGAAATAATCAATTATTTGTTATAGAAACTGTGATAAGTGAGTCATTTTAAAAATCTCTGTTCCATTGTTGTCTGTCGTTTTCGATAAGGGATCTATAATATTAATTATAAAGGAAGTGTTAATTACTTGTCAATAGATAATCAATTTACCTTTCTTGGAAAGTGACAGTCCCTAGTTGGCTAAACCCTGTAATTTTTTTTCTTCAAAAGAATGTCTTTATGATCACTTGAATGAGATTGGATATTTTATACAAACTGTTTGTTTTTTAGCATTATTTTTATATTAAAAACTGTTTGTGATTTAAACAAACATTACGTTAGTATTAACGGTATAAATGCTAGGACCTAGGACATACCGGCTTTATTTAGCTTCATGACTCACTGGTAGCTACTGTTCACTGACATCTGCCAGACTCACTGAGCATGCTCAGTATTGTCAATATCAATTTTACCTTCCTGAGCGTAACAGGTGTAACCGTAGTATGAGGTGATTCTTACGAGGAATATTTGTTTTGTTTTTTTTGTGTTTATGGGGATTTTGTTGTTCAATGTAAGAATTATTTTTTGACAAGTTACATCAAGATTAGTTGTGTAGGTATAATACTATTATACTTTAATACAAAAGCCAGGGCATACCAACTCTATTTAGATTCATGACTCATACCTACACAACTGTACCCTGCCCTCTTGCCAACGAGCCACTGAGCGGGTCTCACTCATTATACACTTGATGTGATTGGCCGTTTGATACAGTGTATCAATGGGGGATGACTTTGGGTATGAGTCACAGTCTAAAAATAGAAAATGACTTCATCATCCAGTCTGTAAAGTGAAGAGGTAACTTGTAGGTGAGCACCTGGAATGTTTACATAAACTGATTGTACTGGGAATTATGCAGCATGATGGACAGCTGTAGTCATAACATTCAGTTATTTTTTAACCTGCAACATTGTTATTAAATTAATTTCTTACCAGCAAATGAATGAAAATAGTTCTGGTTATTTTTATACCTTTACTAGTTATAGTTGATTATCTGCAACAATTCACTGCAAATTTTATTTGGTCTGTCTCATGATATTAACATACTCTACATCTGTCATAAAATATTGATTAAGCCTCAAAAAATGCAATTTGAAAACTAGTAGCATTTAACTACTAGTCTAGCCTTAACCATAATATATTAACTTTCAATGCTTGCAAATCGAAACAAATTTTATTTTGATAATTTACAGAATTCTTTACTACAAAAATCTTAAAATTGACTACTACATTTGACTGTAGCCCCAGGAGAATTATTTTTCTTAAAATTGCAAAAAAAACTTGCATCTTCACACTCTCCCTTGGAAAATGTTCAAAACAAAAAATAAAATCAAAAGTACAGTACTCAAGCTAGCATCCCCATACTTAATCATTGAGCCCATTTTTTTACCTTTGCATCTCTCATTAGCACCCCCTCCCCTCCATTTTAATACGCAACTGATTGTGTCGTAGGTCGATGAAGCTACCCACTGCATCCATTATAGTATGTAAAGCTCAGAATTCCTTATCACTTTTCAAGAGGTTTAGTGTCATCATTTTTTATGGCTATCTAGGCTAAGCCTACTGAGACAGAATTTATGGTGTAAGGCTGTGCTTTTACTGCAAAGCTTAAATGGAGTCATTCTCGTTTTAAATGTCATTTCCAACATATATTTCTCAAAGGACAAATTGGAATCTCAAATTCTAACTTTATTCATGTTGGCTGGTTCAACAAAAATTATATTCTCAAACAAAACTCTATGTTTTAAGTGACCATAAAAAATTCAATTTGCTATACATTTAAATGGTCCCTAGATTAGATTTAGAAGAAATTAAAACATACCATCTTTGGTAATAAGGTCTCTATGCGCTGAGTGAACCGAAAGGAAAAAATGGGAAAAAGTAAAAGATCTATCCTAAGCCAAAAAACCAAAAAGAACAACCCAAGCTGAGGATCCAGAATCACTGCACTGTTGGCAGGCTCATAATTCACAGGTGCGCAAAAGTTCTTTTCTTCCTATTACATCCACACTGTTTGATGTCCTACTGCAGGCCCGCCATGGATCATAATATAATTATACCTATTAATATCTAATCACCCATGAATACTGTACGTAATACGATATAAACTTTGCTCCGAGTTCAAGAAAAGCAACTTTATTACTTTTATTTGAAGATACTTATTTTGGAATTAAGGCAGTGTGTTAATTCCATACGGGTATTCATGGTTATAGATATAGATACATAGATGTATCTGTTGTTTTTATTGTATTACTGTATTTAAAAATATGCATTGCCATTTGTGTAGTTTTAGTTAGCCTATTAAGTATTTCAAGTTCCAATTTTTCTATTGCAATATGTTTCTTTATTGTAGCTAGTCTTTTGCATCTATTTGTGTTTCATTTAAGACTTTATTTTTATTCTCTGTTGAAGCATCTAGACCTTTCATTTTAACCAAGTTGTTCACGTTGAAAAATAAATATATTTTGTATCTTGTATGTTAAGGAAATGGTTTTTATCTTCCCAGCTTTGCTACAGAAGTGATTTTAGATTTACTACCTATACTGTATTTTTGCTGTATTAATTTATTATCAATTGTAGACAGTTCCAAGAACACTAAGTAAAATATTGTACAATGGGGAAAGGTAGGGAGTATAGTAAATAGCCCTGGTAGCAAGTTGGGAGAGCCTCCAGGGAATATATTAGGGGAGTTCCTTAGATCAAAATTAGGGTCAACATTTTTATTACCATTTATTTGCATATACTTTATGATCCAAACAATTATTATTTTATTGCAGTTGTCATTATCGTGTCCTATTATTATTATAATCATAAATATCACTATGTTAATTTTATTTTATTGTTTTGTTATGATTAGTATACTGTACTCTGCATTGCTAATGTTAGTTGTTATTAATGTTATTGTTGTTTTGGTATATTAAATATTGGACAATCGTTATTGTTGTTATCAATAATGTATAATTTCTCATAACAAGTATAAAATTGAATATTTGAAAGACGAACAGATATTATTAAAATGTACATACCTCCCAAAGTACACAATATTTCATAAAATCTTGTGGAATGATGGAAGTGAAGTTATTATTAGCGCTTCTGTATGGTTGCTAGGTTACGTAGTCTCTGACTTTGCCCATACACATTTCAGATTATGGGTTATCTATGTTTATGATTACTGTTACCTTTTATGTTGTTACACTTTTTATTAAACTCCTAAGATATTAATTTTAATCATTTTTTTCCCTTTATTTCTCAGTATTGATCAGTGAAAAAATAGACAATAATGATTTATATGGTAAAACGCTGAAGATCACAGATTTAGGCCTTGCACGTGAAATGTACAAGACGACAAGAATGAGTGCGGCTGGTACGTATGCATGGATGGCGCCAGAGGTCATCAAATCCTCAACCTATTCCAAGAGCAGTGATGTGTGGAGGTATTTGCTAATTCATTTGTTTTGATATTTGGCAATAATTAATATAAATAAATAAATTAAGTTTATAATGATTAATAGTAAGATGTTTCATTCCATATTCAGCTTTTCTATATCCCCTCATTTTATCTCTCCAGTACCCCTTACACAGTCCTTTACCTATCCTCTACATTTCTCTATTTCATTATATTCCTTGTTTATCCTTACTGACATCTCTTCTGTACCCCATTACATTAAATCAGAAGTCATTATATAATGAATATATTCACTGTACATGATGAAATGCTAGTTAAATGGTGGTTGGTCTGTTACAGTATGCAAATTCGTAGGAGGGATTTTAAAATGTTACGTTCTGTCATTTACTTGTTACTAGGGTTGCAAGCCGTCCTCATTGTGAAGACAATTATTTATCGTCATTGACGTCAGCTGACATATAATATGTCAGCTTTTACTCGAGGAGAGACCGTTTATTTATGTCATATTTAAGAATGATTTAGAACAATTTTAATAGAGTTATTCCATCTAGTCTACATTTTGTTAACAGCTATAGTACCTAGATGCTGAGAAATATTGTACTACTGTAGGAATTGTTACCCAAAGAGAATATTATAATAAATATTAAAAGATTTCTTATTATTGTTTTATAAATCAAAATATATTGAATATAATTAATCAATATTTTTTTAGCAATATGAAAAAATTCCCACCAAATAATACTATTGAGTGCTACTAGGTAAAGACAAAACGTGATTTCTTGCTTTGAACAAGGTATCCATTCGTAGAAGTCTTATGAAGATGCCTATCTAATATTGTCATTAAACGGTCGAGACCAGGACATACCTCCGACCTTAAATTGACAAAGATAGAAAAATAATACAACCTTATAACATAGTGTAATTAAAAATAAGCTTATTTATAATGAATGAATGTATGTGTACGTAATATGTTAATAAAAATAACACATAATAAAAATAAAAGAATAATGGAAGAATAGGAAATAATTTGGGAGCAGCTGAAATATTTTCTGAAAGTAAACAATAATAATCAATATGTCATTATTGTTTTACATTTTTAATGTATTTGTTTACAAATCTCATAAAAGATTTCTTATTTAATAATAATAAATTCAAATATTGAATATGATTATATTTATTTTTAGCTACGGTGTTCTTTTGTGGGAAATACTCACCGGCGAAACACCTTATAAGGGAATTGATGGTTTAGCAGTGGCTTACGGAGTTGCCGTTAACAAATTGACACTACCCATTCCAACAACATGTCCAGATGAATTTGCACAACTAATGGAAGGTATACCGTGAGATCTAAGCATATTGTATTGCTGTGAAACATTTAAACTACCAAACTACAGCACAGCTCCACTTCTTTAAAGCCAGGCTAATGAGAGGGAAACATTTGTTTAATATCGTGAACAAATATTATTTTAAGATATCAAAGGGGTGATTGAAGACATCGGAAATGGCTAACAAGATACAAATTTCTAACTTGTAATTAAAAATCTGCTGAAAAGGGAGTTATCTCTCCCAGTCTTAATTCTCATAAATTTGTATCCTTAGCCATTGCCAATTATTTCCTCAAACACCCCTTCAATGCATTAGAATATTTTTGAACATATACCTTTTCTCTCTCTCTCTCTCTCTGGAGCCTGTATTTAAAGATAATATACACAACATACTATAGAAACAAACAACTCATTTTCAAATAGATTCTTGAAAATGAAAACTACTTCTGTTAAATTGTTTAGCTTTACAGTGTTTTTTTTTTTATTGTAGAGCTTGTGGTTTGGTGGCTATTAATTTATTGTTTTAATACAATTCTTCTTTTCATACCTGATTATGACCCTACAATTTGGTATTTTACACTCTGTTGAGGTTTCAATTTAATTCATATTTTGAAATTGAGTAGATTACTGGTTAATCCTTAAAACTGAGTAATTTTTTAAATGAGAAGTTTTGTGATTAGTGAGAACTGTAAATACTAATAGTAATATAAAAACAATAATATGCAGACTCTTAAAGGGACACTGCAATAAACATGTGAAAACTTGTATGTAGCCAGGATGAAAGATAAGACCCTAATATACCTTAAGTTCATAAATGTTTACCTTTCTTTTACAGGTATATAAATCCACTCTATGATTATTTTCTTTTTACACATCATTCCCTTGGAAGCCAAGTATCTTTAACCTCTATATTTTGATCTTGATGAAGAATGTTGATCTATAAATAGATACAGTTTCTTTAAATGAATTAAAACAAATCAACATAAAACAGAAAGCAAGAGTTTATCCAGCTAGTCACTCTCGATTGTTTTTTTTTTTAATTTTATAGATTGCTGGCATGAAGATCCACATCAGAGGGCGACATTCCCTGAAATACTTGACCGTCTTCACAATGCATCGGAGTCCTCGTTTATGGACACGCCACAAAATTCATTCCATTTACTCCAGCAAGACTGGAAGCAGGAGATTAAGGAGATGTTCAGTCTCATCCGCTCAAAAGAAAAAGTATGGCTAGGATAATATTTTTTTAAAAAATTAAACCACTGCTCACTGTTTTGAATGACAGTTACGACTAATAGACCTTTCCGGACTGTCAATCAAACTTAACAACTGACTAATCAGAACAGCGCTAGGAATACGAGCGCGTCTTACAAACACACGTGTTGTCCCACAAACGCACGTGTCCGCGTATGTTTTAACACTGCCGTCTTGTGGGACCTTGGCAACAATATCCAAGGGGCGGAGCTTAGCGGAAAGGTCCATTGTCTGCAGACTTCTCAAGTTCATAAAATGCATTTCCATAACTATGTCTTCAGATTTCTAAAATAAATGAAAAATTTCCATAGCACCACATAATAATTTGCCTTGAGTGCAAGATATAAGTATGGAGTTATAATTATTTTTGAAAATGGGCCTGATTGTCTGTAATTCGATGTGGAATTTCAAACAAATGGGACAGGGTGCAGATTTTCGGGCCACTTTTTCTTAGTTTTCACAACAATTTACCAGTAATCGGACAAGTATTAGTTGTCTAGGGACAATGTAACCAAAGATCCTGATGGAAAAGTAATTTGTTCTGGACTTTAGACCTATTTATTTATGGGTCTAGGCCGATGATAAAATTTCGTAGTATTTTTGTCTATTTCCGTGCGTCCGTAATTAGGCAAATCATAAGAAATAGGCCTAACTACGGAAGTTCCATAATACTTGAGAAGTCTGCTGTCTGTTAGGCTATGTCAGTCTAAGTTGCACTTTTACTAATCCTGATGGTGACATAAATAATGTTAAAATATGGAATTCCAACATGATGGCGTGCATTTCAATACCTGGAGTTTGCCTTATACTTTCTTATCAGTAACAGTATATTACTATAGTATTATCAACTGCTTTTCAAAATGTACTAAATTTGCAATTCCAAATCTTTGTTGTGTTTTAACAGTGGTGTATGTAATAGTATTCTAGTGGTTGGAGAATGGTTGCACTAAATGAGAGAAGGATGGGATAGTGAAGGATGAGAAATTTTTCTGACTAGTGTGCATCTTATGCATGTCCCCATAGATATAACTATAGACCTAATGCTGCATAAATAATGTAGAGTATTGAAGTAAAAAGCAATTGGTCTTTAACTGAGAAACTGGGTTAATGTGAAGACCCATGTAAATGGCAATGTAGTGCCATTCTTGGTTGTAAATTTTTTTTTTATTCCTTGAGCCTTTAGCCTCGTGGCTAGATAAGCTAGATGTGCATTAGTATACCATTAACAGCATCCTTTAGTTCATCAACACACTTGATTTGTTTATTTGATGGTTTGACACTTCTGAGAGTACATTCTGTATACATTCATCTGATAGTCCACTATTTGTTTTTATTTGTTTTTGTTGTGGTAGGAATTGAGAAGCCGGGAAGAGGACCTTCGGAGAGCATCATTACACCAACAAGAACAGGAAATGGTGCTTAAGAAACGAGAGCAGGAGCTAGCCCAACGTGAGATTGATCTGTTAGAGAGGGAGTTACACATTGTATTCCAACAACAGAGTGAAAACAAACCACAACCGAAGAAAAGGAAGCGACGTCCTCGAATGAAAGATAAAAAGCACAACCGAATTAGTATGCCCTCTGGTAAGTCCGGTTACTTGCTCTGCCGTTGAATATTTTAACGGCAAGTTGAACATATATATATATATATATTTAATTCATTTCATTATTATTTGTTAGGTCTTTAAAACAACATAATAGAAAGTTACAAAAGTAAAACTGGAATTTGGAAGACCAGGGTCAACCAAAGTGAACCAAATCACTGTAGCTAAGCCGCTTGACCCAACCCCAAATTCAGCAAAACTCACAACGGTACACAAAATAAAAACTGGGGGGAAAAAACAACATTAAAGTGAATCAAAATAGATGTTAACCTTTCGAAGAAAAGAGGATGGGCTTTCAAGAACTGCAGCATCAGTTAACAATCTAGGGAGCTGGTCCCAGACACGAGGCAACCTGATAGCTACCGAGTGGAAAAATGCTTGTGCCCTTGATATGTGATTACGGAAGCACAAACAATCGTTATGTCGGTAATTGATTTTAATATAATAATCATGAACTGTGATTAACATGGCGAGTTGATTGGCCAAGCGGTTAAGTCAGGGGCACCGTAACCTTCAGCTCTAATATCGGCACTGGTTCGAACGGCTCACTTGCCAGTGGTTCCGTTGGTGGAACAAGTCTTCTCGGATAAGAACTTTAAACCGTAGGCCCAGTGTACGCATTTGGCTCATGTGCACTTTAAAGAACCCAGTTCCCCAGTTCCCCTACTCTTCAAGAAGAGTAGGGGTTTATCCCGGTGTGCTGGTCCATTACGTCCCCTGTTGTTAATGGATATGCCACGTAGGACAGTGATTAAGTTCACTTATTGGCATATCCTTGGCGCTCGTGTCTAAAGAAATGAAATGAAATGAAACATGCCTCCCAAAAAAAACTACAGTACCAAATGTATTTGTCTGTCAATGAAATGCTGCTAGTTGTGATGTAACATAAAATAGCTTTGTATGAATCTGTTTAATTTTTGAGCACATAAGCAATATCTAATACTAACTTCTCCTTTTTCAGATTTTCAACACAAAATATCTGTGCAAGCAACGTTAAGTTATAACAAGAATGACCCAAGGTCACCCACTAGTCCAGAAAGTCCTCCAAATAGTCCTATACCCAGGTTACGAGTAGTTCTTGCATGTAAGTGTTTTTAGTGGTTTTCTTCTGTAATATGTATTATTAAGAAAGAACCAAATAATTATACGGAAGTTCTTGCTGTTAGAGGAAATTGGAAAAGTCACAAAATTGGGAAAAAAAGATGTTGGTGATGAAAATAATAACATTAATGTTGAAAATAATGATAACATTATAATAATAATATGATACAATACATTTTCCTTGTCCGTTAAAGGAAATGCTTTGGTACAAATAAAATTGTTCTCAACAATATTTTTCTTTTTTAATAAATTCTAAAGAACCTATGCATCATAGGGGAGGAACGTTAAGGTTCCAGTGATCCGCATACCCCAGCCTTAAAACAATTATGCATAATGGATTGTATACTTATTTTATAGTGTTTTCATACATCTAAGGATATATCAAGAAATGTCAATGTAATGTCAATTACCAGTATTGATAGATTTATAATTTTTCTTGTAAGTTGATAAGTGATATTTTGCAAATTCATGATGGTTTTTTATGTTAATTAGCGATAATTTTTTGTTGTTTGGTGGAATCTAATACCCAATTCGGACTAGCACCAATTCAGACTAGCACCCAACTGCAAAGTAAAATCTGCTACAATCTTTATTACTTCCGATTACCACAAAATCCGATCGCAACGAATCAACGAATTCCACAAGCATTGTTTGGTTGAGCTCAGTCAACATAAGCCTAGCCACCGGAGGCCTAGGCCCTAGAATGTAAAGTGTTTTTGTGTTGGTCTGAATACGATTGGGAGTAATGCAGTTTTGGATTACCACCGATTACTATCGCAAACCGATCACAACAGAGTGTAGTCTGAATAGGGTATAAATTGCAGGTCACATCTAATTCATCTGAGTGTTAGTCTAAGTGTTATGTAATTGACTACCGCCCTAAAATTCGCCCAGAAATAAATTAATTCTAATTTGTGTTTTCATCCTATAGTACCGAAGAAGCCAAAAGGTAAAACCTGGGGACCAAGTTCAGTACATCAAAAAGACAGGCACAAAGGGATCAAGAACAAAGCCAGGTCACTATCAGTCGCTACGGGCAACAAATTCAGTAGTACACCAAACTTAATCAAGCCTATACATACGCACTGGCCAGGAAACTCAAATCTAGCAAGAGACAGAGACCATTGTAAGTATTGAAAATCTGTCATTAACTTGCCTACTCTGAATTCATTAAGCTAAAATTAAAAGCCCATCTTTTTTATTTCCTATGTCTCCCCCCCCCCCCTTTCAACTTAAGACTACCAAATTAGTTTTAACAATCTACTCTACATACATACATACATTTTTTGCTCCATTTATTTTGATTACTGTTACCCCCAGATATATTTTACCATTAAAAAAATATATTTATAATTGAATTTAGAAGATTAAAGTATACTGTCTATTTTGAATCTGAGGAAACTTCAGATTTTCACTTAATACGTAAAATTTCTTATATTTTTTTATATATTTATTTTTTGGAATCTAATCCTCTTCATATAGAAATGTTACTTTACTAAAAGCATATAACTACTTGCTGCTAATTCTAATTTGTATACCTGAATATAACAAATAAATAAATATCTTTAATATGAATTACAAAAAGAATATATCGTGGAGAAATCAAACAAATGGATTGGGTATTTAGACAGCTTATGTACAGATATTATCTCCATGTTTCATATATGAATATATGACATCAAATTTAAATTGTATCGTTGAATTTCTTCCCATAGCTTTTGGTGAAGACGGTTGGCCAGAGGAACTCTTTGCCCCCAAACCACATTGGAAGGACGTTCAAAAAGAGCCAGACTCAGAAGAAAGTAACGAACATTCAAAACTTTCGAGCAGAAACTCGAGCCCTAATGAGAGTCGTAAAAGGACTAATATAGGTCTATATGGTGCAGCCGCAATTCTTTCTTCGGTTGCGTTAGGCTTTGACATCCGGCGGACAAATTTATCAATATATCAGTCTGGAATGCTGGAACAAATGAAAGACAATAACGGAAGTCTACGGGCTCGGCATTTAAGTGAGTCCTCCGATCCAGGTCCATATCAAGAATACGATGATGATGAGTCGGACTATACGTCAGATTTTTCAGTAGCTTCCACCATACGGCTTATCCCAACCTCTGACCATTCTTCCGGTAGGAGTACACCTCATAGGCAGGATTCATATCCTGGGTTTGATTCATCTCATTCCAAGAATAAACCCATTCGATATTCGATGGGAGATTTTACGATTGGTGAGCCAAGCCATTCGACGCCGCGCGAAATCAATCGGTATTCAATGAGCGATGCTACGCTTCTGCAACAGGAGCAGAATGTTAAGAAAACGCATAGGAGGACTGCATCCGCGGATGATAACTTAAACACAATTACTCCGACATACAGGAGAACGTCATCCAATGACTCCATACTGACCACTAAAAATGACCCTTGGACAAATAATCACCCAGAGCTGACAAGACTTCCCACCCCTCCTCAACCACCCCCTAGGAGGACAAGTTTTGGTGTGTATGAATTGTTTTTTATTTCTTTCTTTATTAGTACTTAGATATACAAAATATTTTGTTTTTTTAAATGTATACTTACATTGTGTTTTAATCAACCTTGGTATTTGTTTTAGATTCTTTTACCTATACTACACTTGATGTTATCAAATATGTTACATCTATATAGGTAACATATTTGATGAAGGTGATCTACCCAATATAGTTGATACAAAATTAATGTGGAATTTCAGTTCTGAGAAAAATCATGACATACAGTATTTTACATAACCACCAAACCATATTTAAATAGCCGCATTTCCTAATTAAGAAAATAAAATCAGTAAGCAGAAGAGTAGAGCACGAGTAAAGAAATTGAGTTTAAATCTGCTTTAAAACAATCTTTTAATTGTGATTTTCAGGTATGGATGGACAAGCCGAGAGGCCAAAGACATTGGATATCTCATCTCGCCCACGCCCTTCTAAAGGTCTCTACCATTCACCAGGGCCACATCCGAATGCTATAGGTAAAACATTCAAGACTATGATTCATCTCTGATCTGTTTGTTCAAAAGATATTTGTTTTTATTATCACATAAATGTTTGTATCTAGCAAACGATACAATTGAGTACTTCTACAATGTGCTACTAATGAATGTTTACCCAATGACAAGGGGAAAAAAAGCCCTTCGTAACCTAAAGGAAAGGCCCTATATAAAAACCAAGTAACAAACAGATAAATGTATATCAGTCACAGAATATACCAAAACTAAAATTCTAACACAATATAGAAGTTTCAAAGAGTAAATACAAATATTTTAATTTTTATTGTTGATCAAAACTAACCAAATTTTATGTGACAAACACATGAGATATGCCAGTATTTGGGTGTAATGCCGTAAAACCTTGAATAGAACCTCAATGGTCTTAATCTTGAGAAGAAGCCCATATCGAATTAAAGACCCCCCACCCACTTTGGTTTGCAAAATTAGCCCCGAAAAAAACCCCATCTCGAAAACAAACCCATGAGCTTCTTTTCAAGATAGCATGGGCTTCTTTTCGAGATAGTAAAGTACATACACTGTACATGAATTTCAAAGAAACAATAAATTAAAAAAACACGCTTGGTTTATACAGTAGTTTAGATGGTTTAATGCTAGTTAATACACTCCATGATACAGATTGATGTTATAGTGGCCCTATTTATTGTCTTCTAGTAATAATTCCCAAAATTTACAGCATTCATTTTGGGGAAAAAAAAGCCCCCTTTTTACTTTGCAAGTGTAGCCTCGAAAAAAAAGCCCATCACGAAAAGAAGCCCATACAAAGTTCGCAAAAAAAGAAAGAAAAAAAAATCCCAGGGCTTCTATTCAAGGTTTTACAGTATGTCATCATCAGGACTATTTATGGGCACATCACACAGATTTGACACATAAAATCTGATAGTGTGGTTAAAGCTTTAGAAAACCATCAACAACAACAAAAAACAAATTTCACAAAAAATGACGAATAAAAGGATAGCGATACCAGACGTAACTTAACATATAAGAAAGAGTGCGCCTTAAATGCTAAGATTGACATTAGAATGTGTAGTATGTTTTCTCTATGTGTTTCTTATTATTGGTACATTTTTACTTCAAAATTTCTTTAGGATTTGCGGATTCATTTACGCCCACCCATACCCACAACCAATCCCGAAACAACAGTTGTAGTACACCATCTTCCAGCCAAACTTCCTTCTCACCCGAGACTCAGACGATGACGAACAAGACCACGCTACTAGACGCTGATGTCGAGGGCCAGTGGAAGGACAACACAAAACCAATGTTACAGCCGCGACCTAGGCAGCTGTCCATATCCGAATTAGAGAGTGAATTTGTATGATGCAACAGTCAAATGCACTATGACTATGGGATATATGATGCACAGGTAAAATGCATGATGGGATAGTTATGACTTCCTGAGATTCAGTACAGTACTGGAAGAATTTACAGAAAATATTGTTAATTCGAGAAGTTGTTTACATTTTATCAAGGTTTATACATTGAATCTTTATACTAGCAGCCGTTGTGAAAAACTAATAATGTTTATAAATTATAAATGTATTTAATCTTTAAATAGAAAATAGACTGAGGCTTAATAAAATCAAACCCAGTTGATCATGTCTAATAGAATATTTTAAAAAACTATGAATCGATGAAAATTAGTTGTTGCTATTACAGCATAATTCCATAATTTAAGGCCAAATTTTTAAAAAGAAGTTAATCATTTACAGTTTTCTAAAGAGGTTGATAAGATAATTTTTTATTTGGCCACACAATAAATTTTATATGTACAATGTTTTGCTCATATATGACGATGATATATCATATCTCACATATGAGGCGTGTCATCTCAAAACCAGTGTACTTTTGCTATATGTTGGACTGAGTAATTAGCATCAGAATGTGGCACTGTATTGTATACAGTACAGAGAAGTCTTAATACTTTTAAGTATTTTTTTTTTAACCCTTAATACTTTTAGTCACAACTTTGGCAATGGTAAGTCGATTCCAGTAAAATGACACATCATTTTAAAGCCTTTAATGTGGAGAATATGAATAAATTGGAAAGTCAATTATCATTTGGTGGCCGTTGATGCTGGTGTTAAGATGGCATACCCCATATATGGGCAAATCACAGGTGATTGTCTTGAAAAACTTAATAGTGTGACAAAAAAATGTGATATGGCCATATTTGGGTGTAATATGACATCTTTGTGCCCATATATGTCTCATAAAACTGAATAGTGTAGACAGGACTCAGTACCTCTTTGCAATTTGCCGACATAGGCATGGATAGTTAGAAGCCAGATGGTTTCGGCTGATCTTGGCATTATGTTGTAGATAAGCATTATATTTATTCCTAAAAGCCATTGACATAAGTTTGAGCAATAGCGAAACCTGCCTTGGTTAATATGCCAAAACTACTACATACCTATACTTAAATATCATGCATTGGTTGCCCGATTCTTGATTTGTGGATTGTAGATAATCTATCAATAATCGCTTACTATCATGTTTAATAAAGAAAAATGTAAGATTACAAGGTAATCTTCTAGCTAGTTTGCGGTATTTGTAAAGATAATGCTTGTAATTATGATTTTGATAAGCTTGAACATTCTTTTACTTTGGATACCCAACATAACATTTGTAGTCTCTGCCTAATATTTCCTTTACTTTTTACTTTAGTTTTTTCCCATTAAAAGGTTATCACAACCTTCAAGTCTTGGCCAACATTATTACTGCACATAGGGGATTTTTTTTTCCTCAGCTGCCAGCCTTGCATGACAACTCATAGAAACCACTTGTTGTGTTTTATGTTTTCACCCTGTGGGACCAATGGACCTTTCCGCCATGTCAATCAAACTTAACAACTGACCAATCAGAACAGAGCTGAAAAATATGGGGCATGTCCTGCAAGCACATGTTTTATGAATTTACGCTGTCATATGGGACCTTAGCAAAAATATCCATGGGCCGGGACTTACCCGAAAGGTCCATTCCGTACTTTATATCTCTTGTGGTTGAGATTTGCCCAATTTAAATGCACGTCCTTACCCGATGCTACCAGCTACCTGATGTATTCGCAATGCAACATTTTAAGTTTGATGGATTAGCCAATGAGAACAGAGATCTTATTTACATAATAAGGGTAACAGGGCACTTTCCTCACGGTGTGTGTCTGATATTTGAAGTTGAGAGTTAAAAATCTTGCAAGAAAGCAGCTGAGCTGAAATCACTTTCATGTTCTGTAGGCTTAATGCAGTCAATTTATCACATTTGAAAAATAGCAATAATAAATGATACTAATAAAATTCATATGCTTTGATAACTCAGAACAATCAAATTAATTGACAAATAAGCAAATACTTCATGGCTTTTATGAAGTAGAAAATATTGTAAGTCGTATTTGTATGTTACATATTTATATCATATCATTATTTATATCAGTGTAACATGTAATTTGATACGATATGCAGTTATTTACTGTTTATCCTTTGGAATTACCTGTCTATAAAATCCCCAATGTAGGAAAAAAAACAATTTGCAGTGTGTATAAATGTTAATGTACATGCATTCCCAGCCAATTACAAAAAAGCAAGCTCAGGATGTTGAATTTTTTTAGCACACTGAATGATGAATGTTAGCAAAATAGTCTTTCTTGTGTCAGCTTATGACAGAACTACAAGTGTTGAAACCCTTGGTTGTGGGAGATTTAAGTTATGAACAGTAAGTTTGAGGAAGACCATTTTAGTAGTGTTATAAACCAACCTCAATTGCCACAAAATTGCACCATTCTTTTGCACCACTGTCATCTCTTTTTTACAACATAAATTAAATATTATACATATCTTTTATTGCTAATGTTTAAACATTTATATGTATGTGTTGGTCATTTACATATGCTGTCTAAAATCTAATAACTGTAAATTGTAGATGCTATCTATCTGATCATAAAAATGGTTTTTCAAATTATTTTCCAATATTGAATCTTCATTGGTATAAATGTAGCCCTGGTAAAAGCATGCTCATTCCTGCATTTGAATGGTGGTACCTGTTGTGTTTTAGGCCTAGAATCAGTCCAGCTAGTCAGTTATACAGTAGGCCATGGGTTTTTTCCAGTATAAGGGATAGTCACTAGTCTTGAGATGGTCCAGCTTAGATACGTATTTGAACTTTAACTTTTAAACTGCATATTTATAACACATGGCAGAATAGCAAAATTTATTTGTTTTAATCTTTAAAACTAATTGCTTTTGTACAAACCATTTTAAAGACTTTTTTGTTGCCTAATTTAGCATCAGGTCTACCGTATTTACCAAGAGACCATTTCTGAATGTAAAACTTGGCTATGTTGATTATTTGTATATTTTTTTCCTAATAATACAATATTGATATAAGATTATTTATTAGCTTGCTGAAGTCCTCTCTCTAAGCTCGCATCCCCACTTTTGTGAAATGTGTTCACAATATAAACAGAGCAACTGTCAGAGGTCTCTCCATCCATCACTTAATCAATCGGTCAATAAAATATCAGAGTTGTGCTATTAGTTATTAATGTAATAAACAATTTAAGGTATCCCATATCAAAATATGTGGCATAGTGGTAAGGCATCAGGATTTTAATCTGAGCGTGGTGGGCACAACACATAACACTAGGTATTCGCTTTCCCCTCTAACATTGTCCTCAGGTTCTGCCTTTTGGTTTGCATGCAGGATATAATTATTCATTGTTTTCAATCAGTTGATCATATACACAAGTAAATGTGATGATTTCCAGAGTATGAAGAAAGAATTCATATCAAAAAGTAGAGCAATGCATAATCATAGCAACAATCCGTAAATTAGGTGGCTTAAGTTTGGGCCATGCATGTCACCCTAGATGGTGTGTGTGATAGTAGTTAATACCTTGAATATTATGAAGTTAAGTTATTAGCCAAAGATAAGTATGTAGTTAAATAATCAACCATGTTCCACCTAATATCTTCTAGAATTTAATTTATTCATGCTGATGTTAAATTAATAAATAAATAAAATTGTCTATATACAAATAGATTAAACACTGTCATTAAATAATACCTTGTGTTCTTTAATGTAGCTGTAAAATGATCAAGCATGCTGAAAGGTTTTCCTTAGGATTGTTAGTAATTATGATTATTTAAATTTAATACAGTAATATTAAAATATTATATAATATACAGAATGCGGGAATTTTAAAAGTAACATTGCCATTTGTTTTTGTAACATTCCCCCGCAATTTAGTATGTTATAATGCTCAGAGGGTCCTTTTATTAAATGATGGCAAATTTGCTGGTTCATGGCCAATCAAAGAGGTAGATAATTCAAGATGTTAGTATTTATATCAAGGATGAATGTAACCTCACTGAAATCATCTAATGAATGCCTGAGTCTACCAGTTAGGAAAAATAAGTAATTTGAATTGATTTTGCTAAACAATTTATTTAGCTAAACATTTAATATTACTATTAGCCAATTATATGTTTGGAGTCTGAGGATGTTTGTATTTCAGACAACACATTGGAATAATGCAGGCTCATCATGATTATATAGAATATAATTTTTCTTATTTAATTTGAAAATTAATATAGGCTACAAAACCATAATTGCATTTACATATAACTACAACACTTGTGTTGCATCATGACTGATGGTGTATTTGTCTTTCAAGTTAAGTTAGCATCTATTTGACCACATTCCAAAGGTACATCATCATCTTACCAAGATGAGTTTTAATAAATTGAGAACTTAGTACGGACTTATCCCAAATGATTGTAGGTTGTAAAAGCAAAATAGAGAATTTGTAGATTTTTTTTCCTTGCTTATGTGTACTTTCAGTTTTGCCTTACAGGTGGGGATTCCTTAAGTAATAACAATGACATCATCTTATGGGTTGGGGATTCCCTGATAAAAGTTCATTTGCTTTACAAATTCAATTAGCCTAAATAATTCACATGAATTGGAAAGACATCTGGGTACTTATATTTCATTTGTATTTTCGGTTGTCAGTAAATTCAGTTAAAATGAATTTGGAATCAAATAGCTAGGCCTCATGTTTATATTTAAAAAATATGAAATAGAAATGATCCTGAAAGTAAAATTTATAATGTAATTAATTTTAATATCAATATTGACATTAATATCAATATTGACATTAATATCAATTTGCTCTCAATCTACCACAAATTAGACAAACTGTAAGTTGGTTGATGCAACTTCCATTGATCATGTCTTTCAATTAATAGCTCATGATAAATTATGGTACAACAGAATATGCACTTGTTAATGGTACAGTGGTACAGTATTCTCTTCATCACAGCCAATCATGTAATAGATACCTCAGGATGATACGTCACTCTTATTATGCATAGAAGGAATAATGCAATTGTCTTATTAAATATTATATCAACTTGAAATCATCCAATGTAAGAACTCACTGTGACTTCTTTGGTTAATTATTAGGGCGCCAGAGCAATAGATTAAAGTCTTTGGTTCGAATCCCTAGGAATTCAAATTTATTTACTTAATTTTCCTTTGTTAAAACTTGCTAACTCATTGTAACACTTCAATAACAGGGGGAAAAAACAATATAAATTTAAAGTAATGATTTTAAAAAAATTAGACGAAATACAGTATGTGTTTGGTTCCTCATTTTCCAGGATTTCTATCTATTTAGAGCCTACATCAACTTATTTATTAGCTTAAATGTGTAACTGCGTGGTGGTAAGCTCTTTCTGGTTGTATATCCCAAGTCCAACATATCTATGTCAAAAAAACAATCATACATTTTTAGAAAATTTAGAGTTTATTTTTGGTTGCAATTCTAAATATTCTGAGTAAGAAATATGACTATGATAAAAATTGTATTTTTATTGTATTTAAAATGTTGAAGGACTAAATTTATCTTTATTATTAATAATGTATTAATAATAATATTAATATCAATCAATGTATTTGCTGGTAATTTTTCTAGCTGTAGCTTTAATAACTCAAATGGTATGACACTCGCTTAGTTAGTGAAAGTTTGCAGATTCAAATTCTGCCGAACATACTAGTTTCATACAACTAAAAAAAGGGCTATTGTATGCGTCATATGATTGTAACACTATGTCCCTATTTGAGCTCTGTTTTTATTTTTTTATTTATATTACGTTTACAGTGCTATGCAGCAAACCTAATTTGAATATTACTAATTTGAATGTTATTTACATGGTCGATATAAACATTTTCTTCTGGACAATATTTTGTGACAGTAACCCTGGCGTTTACAAAAAGCTGATTATTGGGGAAGTGGGGTTCTTTCATGAATACAATGAAAATGTAAAAACTAGTGTACAAACATCTATTTTAAATTCTGTCCACACTACTGTATAACATGTTTTGTGACAAATATCACATTTGTTTGTCAGCAGCTGTGTGGACAGCTTTATAAATGATTGAGGATATAAAAAAGAGTAAAATGAGAATAATATATTAATTTTGATTTATATTGTTTATATTGTCATTGAGAAGTCGAAATGTTTTTGTTGTATTTCGACCAAAAGCATAATTATGTAGCATGCAGTGTAATGATTTGTATTCTGATCAATGTATGATTTTAAAAGTTGCTGATGTTTGATGTCCACGCTTAATTTCTTTTATTGGAAGATGTACCAAGTTTGTTAAAAAATTTTAGGCCTAAGCTTTCTCTAAGTCTACTGCATTTTCGAAAATAGTGACTTGGAAGAATGAGTATAATAATATTAATAGGACTTATTATGTATGTACATTGCTATATGCAGTTAAAAAAAATACTTTACAAATAAACTCTTTTGTTATATATGTTGGAGCCAGATGAAGGAGATTGTTTGGTTCCACAGTCGATGATTCTTATGGTTTAATTTTAAATCAAGTTGATATTCGCATAGGTCAGACTATGACGCATTTAACATTCCTCTTGTAAAGTATTTGTAAATTCTAGAGGGCTAAATAGTACGCAAAGTTGTTATTGGGTTTTGTATTGTTAGTGTGTTTTATTATTATTATTATTAATTAAAATATTAGTTATTTTAATTATTGATATTATTTGGAGTCATATTGTCATATTTTTGGTTCATTTTTTGTAAAGATTTGATTATTCTGGCAATGTATACTAACAAATACTGTATATAATTTTGTGTTGTAGATAATTTGGCCATGTGAAATGGTGGTAACTTTATTCATTACTATTTGTAAAAGCCACATGGGAATGGGGAAGGAATTAAAACATTGTAATTACATCAAAATTTTCTACGAAAAGAAGAATTATCGTCTTTGCCTTTGTTTTACTGCGTCTGTCTCTCCTTTTAAAGATAATATCAAAGACTATATAATTCTAAACTCTTTAGTTGTATACAGTGGTATACAGTAACTAAGGTGTCTGGAAATGGGAGGGGGTGGATCGTGTGAAGCTGAGAATAGGGAATTAGGTGAGGGGGCACTAGCTCGCAAAAGTTGGTTATTTATGTGATGATTGTCATCTATTTTAGTGTGATTTTTTTTTGCTTTGAACAATTTCATCAGTGGTGAGGGGGGTGAAACTTTAGCCGCGAGTTTATTTGGGCTCCCACCCCTAGATGTGCCACTGCTCCCACTCTTTCTTGGTTGGCCCATTTTGTGTGTGATATGAAATGTCCATACATGGGAAAAAATAAGTGAACAATCAGTCAGAATTGAGACCCTCGATTTTTTTATTTTATTTTATTTATTTATTTTTTTTTTTGTGCTGTATAATGCATAACCATTAACTTCAATTATTCAAACAAGCACTAGAATTAACAGAAAATTCGAATCCAATTTAGTACTAATAATATAAAGCTATGGTATTTTTTTATATTCTACAATTTACTGTGAAGGGCCCCTCGATCGAACACATTTGAGACACCCGTAATCGATTACTAAAATGCATTTGGCCTCCAACTAACACTTTCTCACCCCTGGTCCCGTGACTCGTCGTTACGCCACTAATCATCACCATTATCATCATCATCATGACATTCCTATTGTCATCATTATATAATATCATCCATTATGATCACCACCATCATTATTATTACAATATCAGGATCATCATCGTCGTCGTCGTCTCACCATCGTCATCATCATCATCATCATCATCACCATCACCATCATCATCATCAAATTTGTACAGTCTGTACATAATGCAAAAGAAATGTGTGGCGTATAATGCGTTACAAGTAAACGTGCTGATGTCTACCTATGTGTTATAGTAAGCCGCTAATATATAATCCAGTCAAGTCACTATATATTCACTTAATTTCAATGTACGTGGACCAATACATTCTCAGTCATGTGCTTTGTGAAACATTAACAATGAATAAAATCTCAATTATACATTTTTTTTATTATACTGTAAAAGATAAATGAAGGTATTTATTTGCCGAATTAGGAATACTTATTGCACATTTATCAATAATAATATTTTCTTAATTTTTTTTTAGAACGAGTTTTTCAAGATTCATTAGTTATAAATAAAGGTATTCACTTGCTGAATTGAAAACTGGTATTGCACAATCGTAACAATATTTTCTTCATATTTTTTGGATTTTTTATAAAATAGACAGTGAAAAATAAAGTTTACATAATTGTTTTTTTTTATATTTTACATTATCACGATAGGTGATTTAGTTTATTTATAAGTTATTGATTTTGTTTGCCAACGTGTTGACAAGATCGTCAATGGGTGGTCTCCGCTGTGGGTCGACGTGAGTGCAGAGTTTGCTCATTTCATATAAAGTTCTCATACGTAAATGAGTACCCATTTCCCAAAACATGTTGCCCAGGCTGTGTATGTCGGAGGCAAACGTTGGTGGTGAGTTTGGGAAATGAAGCTCTGGGGCATATTCTCTGTGAGCTGCTATGCACTGTTGACGTTGTGCTGCAGGAGTGTTGTTAAGCTTGAAGAAGTCGAATGGAGCGGATGCATGACAGACTGAACCGAAATCGGTGATTTTTGCTGCCCAGCGTTCGCCATCATGGTAAAGGAGAATATTTCTACTGGCCAAATCGTTATGAATCAAGCCATGTTTTTGCATCACCTGTACGCCTTCTGCCATGTCACGTGCCACATGTAGTCCATCTGAGATCGTAAGATTCGGATCTTTGAAAGTGATGGCTTTAAAGAGAGTCATAGACTTAAAGCGAGTTGGATGTCCGACGTATTCAATGACAATGCTTTTACGGGATTCGAACCAAGCTTTTTCGCAGATTCCATAAACGTACGGAAAGGCTCTGCTTTCCTTCGATAGGAACATCAGCACTCGAGCTTCGAGGTAAATTAAAAATTCATCTCTGAACTGCTTCGATGTATCTCCTCCACTTGCAACGTCACATGATTTTACTGCAACAAGTGGGCCATCAGAATGATCCAGACGTTTTAACAAGACTTCTCCGTAAGCACCCTTACCAAGTTGAACCTGCACAAGTAAATAAGTAGTTATTGTTAGAATTTAATTCAGTTACATATAATTTTGAGCAATAATGTTATACAGTAAAAATACTTAGAGTAATTCGAACAAATAAGTTAGCTAACCTGTTTTCCAGAAAGAACGACTGGGCACAAATCTTCCATCGATATGATCTCAAGCTCATTTGGCATAATGTTGTCTAATTTCACGAGATAGTCAGGCAAGATTACATCTTCTGGTGCCTTAAGTGGTGACAATGATGCTGATGTGAACTTGCCACCTCCCTGTCCGAGATCGTGATATGAGTTTGAAAGACGGAGAAGATTCTGCCATTTCCCACTCAGTGGTGCACCAAAAGAACGATTTTCGCCTTCAAAATCATCAGTATCAATGAAGATTAGTTCTGGTCGGTGGTCCACAGGCAAGGTGGCGTTCTCGACAGAGTAGTGTGCAGTTGCAGGAATGTCAGTGACAGCACTGATGGGGCTGTTTTGACTACTTTTGACTAAGCTTTGGCACGACTGAGGTTCTGTGCTGTCTGTACAAGAATAAGATGTGGTGTCCGTTCTGTAATTGCCAAAAACAAATGAGTTGTGTTACATTTTCATCAACATACATAACATTTATCAACATACAAGTACAAATAATATAATAGGCCTAGTAGTGTAGCCTATTCATTTTTTATTGAAATAACAATCAATGAATTAATAGATCCATCAATCCACTCATTGATAAAATTATCGATTTTAAATTATGAAGGGAACTTAAGTAATGTAACGATGCGAAACACCGGGTTAAAACGTATTATTGCATGTTTGATTATACAATAATGATCAGGAACTCCTCTTTGATAATGATGTTACTTACGTTAAGATAGTTTGGTATTCTGCATCCTGTGGTGGTGCCGTTATAGCAGGGGTGAACAATAGTTGTTGGTTCCTAAAATATACCCAGTAGAACAGACTGCACATCGCCTTCATAAAGGGGATAAGATGCCACATTGTATCTAATATTGCATTTCTCTCGACGCCCACCACGCACCGATTTTCATATCCGTTCTTGAAGTTACCACCGGCAAAGTAGATCACCATTCTTGCGATCACTGCGAGGAACGACCGAGCTTGTCCACCGACGATGATATCCAATGTATATTGGAAACATTTGAATGACACTTTGAATGTGTTGTTGATCTCATAGCAGATGTTTAAAGTGAATGGTGGAATGGTGCCATTACTCGGTCTCGCAATGGAATAGGATCGGTGGCACATGTCACGACATTGGTTTTGGTCGCCCAACTGCATGCATGAAGTGGCAAAGAGATGTTGGCTAGCTAAGCTAAGAGCCTGTAGGTAAAGAATTTAAGAAACCATCAAAACTACACATTCGCATTTTGGTAAAATCACTTTCAACTTTGATAGGTTTACTTATTCAATAATTGGATATTATTACGTTTAAAACTTTGTACTCCAACTAGTTTTACCTTTATTTCTGAGTGTTTGGCAGTCAGCTGAGTTGGTAACTCAATTGATGGTAAAAAACAAGTTTTCAAATAGATGGTGCCAATATTATTTTTGACTGTTTTCAATGTCTTCACTCTCACAGATAAGTACGAATTGTGGCATAGGCCACGGCATTGGTTTTGGTTGCCCAAATGCATGTGTGGTGTGGTAAAGAGATGCTGGCTAAATAAGCTAAGAGCCTGTGGAGTAATATTTAAGAAAAGTTATTAAAACTTGTATAGGCCCAAGTCAATAATTATAGATACAGGTATTAATACATTAAATACTTTGCATTTCAACTAGGCTCACCTTTATTTTTGAGTGCTTAGCAGTCGGTTGAGATGGTAACTCAGTTGATGGTAAAAAGTGAGTTACCAAATGGAGGGTGCCAATATTATATTGGACTGTTTTTAATGTCTTCACTCTCACAGTTGAATAAGATCGGTGGCATACGTCAGGACTTTGGTTTTGGTCGCCCAACTGCATGTATGGAATTAGAGATGGTTAAAGATTTTTAGAAGTCATTAAAACCATATATCTGCATGTGGTAGAGTCGCTTACAACTTGTAAGCTTGTATAAGGCCCAAGTCAATAATTTAGAATATAATACATTCAAAACTTTTTTTCAAACTAGGCTTACCTTTATTTCTGAATGATTGGCAGTCAGCTGAGCTGGTAACTCAATTGATGGTAAAAATCGAGTTTTCAAATGGATATTGCCAATAATGTATTTGACTGCTTTCAATGGCTTCACTGCGAGGATCGACCGAGCTTGTTCACCGCTTAAGATGATGTTCAATGTATATTGTAAACATTTGAATGACCCTTTGAATGTGTTGTTTATGTCAGAGCGGAGATTTAAAGTGAATGGTCGGATGGTGCCGCCTCCGGGTCTCACAGTTTGAAAGGATCGGTGGGATATGTCACGACATTGGTTTTGGTCACTCAGCTGCATGTACAGAGTAGTAAAGAGTGATTCGGTAACTAAGCTAATAGCCTGTAGATTAAAAAAGAGTCATCAAATTATTTTCATTTGTAGAGTCGATTACAGCTTGTATATAGGCCTAGGCTCAAGTCAGTTGTTTTGGATATTCATACATTCAAAACTTTGTATTCGAACTAGGCTTAGGTCCTTTGCCTACCTTTATTTCTGAGTGCTTGGCAGTCAGCTGAGTTGGTAACTCAATTGATGGTAAAAAGCGAGTTTTCAAATGGAGGCTGCCACTATTGTATTTGACTGTTTTCATTGTCTTAGCTCCCATAATACGAGGCTGAAATAAAACAAAAATTTGCGATGAAGGTAATAATGAAAAGCGTCTATATTATGTAACATAGCATCATAAAATTATTACATTTTCTTTTTGTTTGCAAACAGTAAAAATATAAAAAAAAAAAACAATGAAGCCATTATAAATCGCTTGAAAACATTATTAATTTACTTGTTAATTATAATCGACAATATTAAATGTTATGGCTATGATACCTCATATGTCTTGGTCGTCGAACTGAATCCTCCATTCACCAAGTGGAGCAATTTGGTAGCAGCTGATTCGAGTTGAGGCCGATGCCACTTTGAAATACTGGAAAAGGAGAGCTTCTTGTCGATTACTTGGTGTCTGTTGTCGACAAGGGCTTTCTGAATAGATCTTGTAAGAACGTCATCACCGAGCTTTGGTTTACAATTCACAAAGCTTCCTTCGACGGCAATAGGTTGTTTCAGAGCTGGGACGCAATTAATCACATCCATCGAGAAGCACTTTCGAATGAGGTTGAGTGCAGCCAAGTGGTCTGGTTCCATATCCTCCATAACAGAAATGCTGCTATCGAAATAGCTGCCATCCAGTTGAACAAGTGCTCTAGCGTATTGTCGGATTACGATGTCAAATTGTGGATCAGAATCACAGTACGCGATGGCAGCACATGGAAGGTCCACGGCAATACCATACATGATCCTCAGCAGTATAACTCGGATATGTGACGGCACATTGATCCAAACCAGTGGTGGAGATGTTGGCTTAAGATCTCCATCAGCCTCGGGTCTCTCAACAGTGAAACAGCATTTGAAATATTTGTTGAAGAAACCGGCAAATGCGGACCGTCTGTGTGAAAAGAAAGCAGCTATAACTATACAGCATCAATAAATTATCAAATTTGTAACTTGTTACGTATGTTTACAAAACTCGCTTTAAAACTTTCTTTATATACATTTATATTTATCATTATCATTCACACCACCGAGGTTTAACAAAGTGAAAACTGTTTCTACCTATTTTGACGTCCTTGAGAAATTCGATTAAATAGACGATTGATTCGTCCTGGCATATCTAATGAAAAGAAAGTAGTTCAAATTTAAGAATGACCTAATAAATGAGGACATAAACAATGACATTACAAAATTAAATACCGCTTAATAATTCAAATATAAATCATATAGCATTAAAAATAGTAGTAACATTATTAATATCAGTAATATTCTAGATAATAAATAATAGGCCTATCATAATAAATAATAGTAATAAACGATCAATAATAATCATATTGATAATAATTATATTGATGATGATGATGATGATGATGATGATGATAATAATAATATCATAGCATACACTCACCAATGAAGTACAGCGTAAAAATAAATCAATTTTCTTTCTGAAAGAATAAAATATATTTAACGAAGTGTTGCAAAGGGACAGCAACAGTCAGAGTCCTTCGAGAAAAAAATAATCGGAAAATTCCTAAAATTATATAAGTTATCTTCAATTATTGTTATGAGACCAATTTTATGCTAGGTATGGTTGGAAGATACAATATTGTTTAAGAATACAGTAATTGGATTCTATTGGCTTATCATTTGAATTCATTCTTCCTATCTACTACTAGTTAAGTTTTTTTTTTTATAAACAGACATTGGTTTAATTTAATGAATTCTAATAAAAGAGTAAATCTTGCTCTCATACAGCGACGGTTTTTCCTAGATCAGAAGAAGGCCCGGTCAGTCCTCCGTCAAAGCGACGTTTTTGGTGTTACTTAATTTAGCTAATATTGTTTAATTTTATCGTCGTACGCGGACGAAAGTAGTTGTGTTTAATCTTCAACTTGAAATATTAAATAGGAACTAAACTTTTCGATCACAATGTCATAAATAACGACTAAAAATGCAAAACTTACAGAGAGTTTGTTTAGTCAATGCTATTCTCTTCAAGTTCATGAAGTGTATTGTTGTAATCTCCATGACTGTCGCTACAACAAAAAAGTATGTTGCCATGAGCGCGCGTACTCAAGAACTTACACGTGCTGCATGCGCGTATTTGCACAATATCCTCTTTTTTCAAATGGTTGAATACTGAGATCTATCTCCTGTTTGAAAATTTATCCATCTTTTAATGACGTAACATAACCAGTTTAGTTCCATGATTTGGATTAAAAATGTTTGATGAAGTTTGAATTGCTGTAACTTTGAATCACTTGGTCCTGTCAGTGTTCTAAACCGTGTTTAAATTGTTCCCCTGCTAGCTGCGAGTACATTGAAAAATAAGTGCGTGAACTAATTTGCAATACGCCTTTGATTTCGCGTAAAAAAACACGCACGCGTATGACAAAAATCAATCCCAGGATGTTTTAACGCGGTAAAATCATGGTTAATCGCTGCCGGCCGGCCGGGGAAATCGTATTGCAATTATGTAGGGATCCTATCAATTAAGAAATATTTCAGCTAACAAAATCGACCAAATTTAAAAAAAAAGAAGCAAAGAATGAAATGAAGCGTCGGGATTCAAACAATATCCATAACTATTTTAAAAATATTTGATAAAATCGTTCTAGCATAGAAAAATACAGAATATTTTATCAAATTTTGATCGTCAAATTTGTTTTAACAAAATTGAACGCTGCGAGCAGGGTTCGAACCTGCGCGGGAAGATCCCATTGGATTTCGAATCCAACGCCTTAACCACTCGGCCATCACAGCACTTTCGTACAGGATTATTAAAAATATTCGTCTCAAATCATGACTATAATAAATCAGAAAAGGTCGGGAAGGTTGAACCTGGTTCAAGCTTGCCGATTGCGTTGCAGACGAATTGGCGTGCCCTTCCCGATTGCGTCAGGGCAAGTTCCCTGATTCGTCTGCAACGCAATCGGCAAAGTTGAACCAGGTTCAACATTCCCAGGGGCGGCCAGTAATATTTTTGCTGAGATTAAAAATAATAACAATGAATAAATAATACAAATTTAATATAAATCAATTTTTTTCTCACCCTCTGTATATTTTTACTTACTAATAATACTGTATTATATTTTGTAGAGTAGGTCTAAATAATTGATCGTTCATGAAGCGCCACTCGTGTTAAAACGCATTTATAAACTTTATAAATTGTTGAGTCTGAAAGTGCCATTTCCAAGAACCTAGAGCTATATATGTTAAAAATTTGCTCACCTCAGCCCCACTCATGGTGAATGGATATTTTTTTTGGTAGGAACGTCTTTAATGACGGGGTAGGAGGCTTCAAGCTGCGCTGCACCAAGATGACTGGTTGGTAATTTTGATATTCAATTACAACTTATCGACATAACTTGGAAAATACGTAGACCTACACACAGTACTAATTTAATTATTGAATAATTAGGTAGGCTACCGTACTCACGCGAATAAGTATTTATAAATATTTTTGTGCACTTTTGAGGGCGCTTATTCAAACGGGGGTGGGGGGATTAATTATTAAAGTAGAAATTAAGGGGATGCTTATAGGGACTTGGAAAGGAGAAGTTTATTCACACGGGACGCTTAATCGTGCGAGTACGGTATTTGTGATTAATTTACTACGAAGATCTCTGCTATTAAGAGTTATATCAAATCGTACCTCTCCCCAGCTATGATAATGATGTACTGTATTACCAAAGTTACTGTATCTTTCTATTAACTTTTCATCCGCTAGAGGGGGGTGTTTAACTTTCTGTTACCTTGTTATTGTTTATCATGGATTCAAAACAAGACGTGTTTTCGAACGATAAATAATGAGTTTAATATTTGTAGTTAGGGATCAAGAGAGTACTGTATATGCAGAAGTTGCTGAGTTGCTATTGAAAAGTGGGAAGTGGAGAAAGGCCCAGAGCAAAAACACTCCAAAGTTTCATTTGTTGTTTGGAGAAAGGAATGGGCTAAAATTCGGTAAACTTGGTAAGACTAAGGCCCGGGTTCCCCGTAAGTAAGACGGCAGGATGCCCACACTGAGTGTGAGAAATTGCCTCGCTGACCTGATTACCTAGACACCTACAGGTACTCTAGGCCTAGCGTGGGCCTAGGTAGTAGTAAAAGCAAGGCCATTTTTTAAATGAAAGTTAATATTATAAAACTTTAATTTGATATGAGGTTAATTTTGACTTCAGCAGACTGAAAGTTTAAAAAAATAATCATTTGCCTATCCAGATAATGCTATTTTGATTGCTAATTGCTAATTTTGTTGTCTAAAGCACATAGGACCAACTTAACTTCCATAAAAACTCATGAACCCTAACAGGAATTTGTTTATCCCTGGCTGCCAGCTCCACCAATCACCACTTGGATTTGCATAGCAATATCCACGATGGAAAAAAAACCATACAGGAGATGTTGATAATTTAATTATTAATAGTAGTTATTAACACTGAATCAGAGCTGTAATTAATCCTGTTGGCATTATGGTGAATATTAAATTGATTAATAATATTAAAAATTCAAATATAATCATTCAAAAGAAAGAAAATTAATTGTTTATTCTTTAAAATATGTATTCAGAACAGATGAATAAAATACAAATTACTAAATTTAATAAGTCAAATTAAAAAGTATGCTAGAGTACCTGCAGTTTTACACTGCAACTTGGTGCCGTTTGCAATTTTGAACATATTGGATGTACTGTATGTAGATTACCGACCCTATTCTCTCATTATATGTACAGTAATTGCAAAATATATTTTGCCTTTGCTTTTTTTAATGTGCTTGAAAGCCCTTTACTTTTTCATTTGAATCTTTGATCTTTAGGTCATGAACCAGGGCTTTTACAAGCTGTTAACTATTACCGTGGCAATGGTCTGATATGCAGAAAAGTACAACTGACACAAATGCTAAAGGCAACTTGTTCACATCCACATGAGCAAACACATGAGCGTGTGCAGAATGAACATGAGCAACACGGCTGCCAGAGTTGGTACCCAACTTCATTTGTGATTCACCCGACAACAGAAGGAACTCCAGAAAGCAGTTCCCTCAGTGTAAAGGAGAGAATGATGATGGCTCATAAGGTGAGAGAGGACGAAAGAGAAGATTTCCAGAGAGTTCAAAGATTGATGAAAGAAAAAAGGGAAGGTTCTGTATGGATAGCAAAATCTAGTGCAGGAGCGAAAGGTATGCAATAAATCATTCCTCCTTATGTGATGACAATTAACAGTAAAAATACCTTCCCCCTCCACCCTGCCATTAAAATGTTGTATATGAGCCCCCATTTTGTTTTTCCTGTAAAAAATGTAAACACCTGCGAGGGGACAGTAGTGCCACCTGCAATTTTTGACTATTAAAATAGCCAATTTCATTACTAAAATAGATTTCTAATTGGTGGACATACCCCCTTGTGGCCACACCCTCTTGTGGCTACACCTTCTTGTACATCTTGTTTCAAGATCCTGGACCCATCCCTTTCATGTACGCCCTAATACCAACACATATATTCTGCACTAAAAACTTATATTTTTCACATGTAATTTATATTAACAATATAAACTACAGCCCTGTCACAGGTCTAGTTTTAATCTATATTCTTTGGAAAACTAGGTAAAGGTCTGTTGGTGTCTGAGGATGCCGACACTTTACTCAACTTCATCGACTCGCAGTCATTCTCACACGTTATTCAGAAATACATTGAAAAGCCACTGCTTCTCCCAGGATCAAGGAAGTTTGATATCAGGTCATCTTTATTTACTTATCATCATCTATTAGTTACTTCATTTTCACATTTACCATAATAGTTAAGTGACTTGCCACTTATTAGAAAGATAATAGTAGGCAACTGCATTCCTGAAAGGAAGCAAACATCTCCCACAGACTAACTCATCCTACCGATCCAGAATGCTTGCATGTTTTTGCTTCTGTATTATTAATTACCTCCTTAAAGGCAGCTGACAATGGGTATCCGTGCCTGTAACCAGGGTTTCTATCGTTTGGCCATACTCCCCTTTTCAAGCGAACCTCTTCTGCTATACCAAACCATCCCCTCCGTTTGCATCAAAAACCACCAAAGTGATGATGAAATTTAATATGTAAGGTGCCCCACCAGGGCACATAGGTGCCCCCTGGTCCTTGGTTCATAGGAAAGCCCTTAAAGAAACCTGGTTATAGGCCTGCAAGTGGTATTGATGCACATAGGAAAATACAACAGGATTTGTTAAGAAATTATTCAACAAGATCTTCCTGTACTGACTTCTCCCTGCTTTAGAATCTCTGTTATTGTAATGTATTATAATTATAGTCAAATTATTAACTTAGTAACTTGATAATGTATTTGATTATAGTTTTCTTGCTTTTGGATGTTATGTTATAAAATGAAAGAAAAAAAGAATCAATTCTTAGTAGGTTAATAATCTGTTTATCTGTCTTGACTTCTATGCATAGGTGCTGGGCTGTGTTAGACCATACGTACACCATTCACTTATTCAAAGAAGGTGTGCTGAGGACCTCAGCTGAATGTTACAATGCTGGAGATTATAGCAATACTATAAGCCACATTACTAATCATTGCATACAGGTAATACCATTTATTAGAAAAATGTCTCCAACCTAGGTATGAAAAAAAAAAATTATAGACCTTAGAACTAAACAACCTAAATTCAAAGGGTATTTGTTTCAAATCCAGCAAAATTGCCAAAATTGGTTCTGATGACTGATGACCAGCTACTCTCATCTGTCCGCAACAGGGATGGACTTTCCCGCTAATCCCTGCCTATTTGGATATTTTTGCTAAGGTCCCAAAAAACGACTGTGATAAAATATACAATACAAACAAAAATATGATCATTTTTCTGTGAAAAAAATGACAATTGCACAGTTTTCACAATGTTTCTATGATCTTACGAAAAAAAAAAAAAAAAAACCTTTTTTTTTTTGGCAGCAAGAATATTCTGAAAACTTTGGGAAGTATGAAGAAGGTAATGAGATGTTCTATGAGGAATTTGATAGGTAAGTTTTGAAATATGGTCTTATGAATATTGTTGATGATATCGGAGTGGAGAAAAGAAAATGACATAGGTAGGCCGCGGCCTATGTCAGCAGATGGGAAGTAGATGAAAGCAGTTCTGAAGGAAAATTGATAGTATAAAATATCCAAGGAGATAAGATCACCCTGGTATTAGGATCACCTTGGTTTAGGATTGAACAGTGGCGATGCTAGGATTTTAGGGAGTGGGGGAGCCTCCCCAATGTAGCACCGCCACCGAGTTTGAGGAAAGCCATCACTACTTTTTAATCATGTCGCCTCCATCGTTAAGAGCCAATTAAACATTACCTATTTTTCGGATGGCAGCATATCTTGCATTCTCTTAAACAAGACTACCTGTTTTGTTTTATTATTTATTAATTTTTATTTATTTTACTGATAGCACGATACTTTAAGTAATTTGATATTTGATCTGTAATTTTATTTATTTAACTCTGATTTTAACTGGTCACCATGCCTTAAAGTTTCTTTTCCAAACTTATTATGGCCTCCATCCACACACTTTTTTTATTATCGCACTTATTTTTTACTTCTGAATTGTATTCTTTTTATTATTTATATAAATTTACTGTATTATACTTCATGTGAGGAAAAACAATTAAACAAAAACAATCAACAATCTTAGTAGCTAATGATAATGATGGTAATAAAAATTGTTGGTGATATTGTTGAGGAGGATGAATGATATTATCACCATGATGTAGGTTTGTTGATAACAATTATGGCTTACAACAAGTCTCTAATTTATTGACTTCCCCAAATATATTACATAATTTTAGAGAGCGCCTCTGGCATCTGTTTATGTCGAGCAACTTGTATGTTGTCGAATATGGACCTAAACCCAGAAAAAATTATAGTATGGAAAGCCAAAATTGATTTACTTTTAAGCATTTATCACTGATTAAGACAAAATTTAGGGACTGGATTACCCAGTCTAGGCGACATGATCAAAAATACCTTAACATTTCATGAACAATTTTCGGACATGCCTCTTTCAGATTCCTTGATAAGTACTACAAGACATCACTGGAATTAAGTATACTACCTCAAATCAGGCATATCATAAAGTATTGCCTACTGGCCTGCCAGGAAGTAAGTAAACTAATTTGGTAATGAGATAATAGAGGATAATAATCAATTATGCATTGTGTTTATTAGAACAGCGCTTTATCCATCTATTAAAAAAAAAAAATACATTCCTCATTACATTACATTAGTATTAAGGAAAGGAGTTCCCTCATTTTTCTTAATGAATGTGTACGCTTAAATTTCTATTAAAATTTGTTTTATATATCTATTAGAACCTTGATACAAAGCATCTATCCTATCATAGCTTTCAACTATTTGGTTTTGACTTCATGTTGGATGATGCATTAAGGGTGTGGTTACTGGAAGTTAATGGAGCTCCTGCATGTGCTAAGTAAGTCCTTATTCTCTAAGTACCTGTATAAGCCTATTATTTATCATATGTATGTTTCAACTACAAATGTCTATACTATGTCAATTGCATATTTCTGATGCCATGCGACTTCTCTCAGATGTACCACAGCCCCACCACTGTATGTGATGGTGTTTCAGGACAATTTCAACCCTGGACCATGAAATTGAAAGAGGACCTAAATCACAAGAAAATAAACAATGTGGTATTTAACCCAAACTTACAGCTTACAGCCCAAAAATAGCCTCCTTGTTCAATCCCAGTAATTAGTCGATGACGGCTGTTAAGTACTATACCACTTAATGTTACTATTTTCATTTCTTTCAGGAAACTACTTCCACGACTGGCAAATGGTATAATGTCCACTGTGATTAACCCAATATTCTTTCCGGAGGAACAACATGAACCTCATCAAGACTTTGAAGTTTTATGACAAAATATATTTAGTGTACAAAATCATTTAATTTAAATTTATTACTGCATGTAGACATATCATGAAAATAAGTACAGGTACTTGTAATTCTTCAGATATATACCTCACCCATTGGAACACAAATTTAAGCCTATTTTGGGGAGTGGAACATGAGAGAGTCAGCTTAAAAAAAAAAAATAAAAAAACTAATGGAAGCCATGTCCAATTACAGGTCTCCCTCTAATTAAAGACCACCTGCAATTATTAAAGACCAAATTAACAAATGTCTTTCATCTTTATTATTCTAATTAGAGACCAAATGTGCTAAGACAATTGAAACATAGGTTCAAAAATTGGTCTTAAATGTGGGGGGGGGGGAGACCCTTATTTGTAGGGATGCCCATTTTGCAAATGCTCTTTAACCACACTTCGAATTACATTTGCAATGAAATGTATTGCATAGCCTAAAAGTACTTTATATTAGGTTGTTCCAATTGGTCCAAGGTGAAGTTGCAACGATGTTCATACTACTTATTAAACCAGTGATTGAAAAATTTTGTTTTCAACATTCATCAGTGGCAACACAAGATCTCCTAGAAACGGCTTAAAATTCCTCCCAGACTTACACCAGAGCCCTTGCATTTATACAATGTATCATATGTTGAACCATGATGAGGCCCAAATGAAGTAATTGAAAACCCAAAATATAAATTGGCAATATAAATTTACAGTTCAATGAATGTCAGCTTACTGTAAACATTAAAAATATTTAAAAAAAAATAGTCTACATGAAATCAAATTATTACATAGGTTGACTACTAATAACATATTTCTTCAAATATTAGGAACTACTGTAATTTCTCCATCATAATTAGTTAAACTTGTTTATTGAATTACTGTATATAAATTGTTATCTTACCTGCATCAGAAATCAAGACACTTTCACTCAGCCATGACAGCTAAAAGTACTATACTTTCATAATAGAATGTAAATGTACATTTGTCAAATCCGTTTTACAGCAAAACAAAAACGAAGTACAACTTGCGCTCCAGAAAATGAAGATACGAAAATCATAGTCGCTGTGAGCAGGATTCGAACCCGCGCGGGAAAATCCCATTGGATTTTAAGTCCAACGCCTTAACCACTCGGCCACCACAGCTAAATACCAAGATAAAAAATCGTATTCTCCATTTCGGATTCCAACATTATCCAGTGGTGGTGCCAGGACTAGTTTTTGTATATCTTGCTAACTGACAGTGATGATCCTTGGAGGTGGTAAAATGGAATGTCCTAGAGAGTGCGATTAAAGCTTTGCCACACAATCAAATTTGGTGTGACATTTGGTATGCCAATAATATTAGGGTGCAACATGGATCATGTCCATATATGGGCACATACATATTTGTCATAAAATATGAGTGTGGACAAAACTTTAGTATCAGTGTGTACACAAATCTTGAGTTGGATTGTGTATGTATTGGAAGATCTCACTGGACTCAAGCCTTAAACTTGGCCATCACAGCTAACAATAACAATTTACAGCAACATCTAAAATAACGCAAATAAAAATTAAGCCTCTGGATTCTAACAATGGAACTGAAAGAGAACAATCTAAATTCAAGTGAAGGTGCAATGTTGTGCTGTATAGTGTACTACAGTATTTATTAAACCAGTGGTCAATAAATTTGGTTTTCTTGTTCGTCAGTGGCAGTACAAACAATTCCTCACGAATCGAAAAACATTTCTAAGATTGAAAATAGCTCCTGGACTCGTTAGAGTCCCTGAATCCCCTTCCCCCACTGGAAATTTTAAGATTCTGTAGAAGCCATCACTGCGGTTGTGCCTACTATGTACATTCATTTGGTTCATATCGCTCTCAATCTAAATACTGTACCAATGTTTTGCCTGTAATGTACATACCAAGTATTTTTTTTTTAATAGATGAAGAAAAGAACAAATATTGGTCCAATTGAAACACAAAGAGTGCATTCTATATTTCCAGTGGCAGATACACTAGTGAATGTACCTGGCCCAGGATTTATCAATCTCAGCAAATGTCTTAAGTCAAAAAAGTTAAGATGTCCCTTAGATATATCTTAAGCTGATTTATTAACCAATCTTAGCTTAAAAATGGTCCAAAATGGCGCGAATATACAATCGACTTTCTAATTTTAAACAATTTTTAAGCTAAGCAATATGGATAAATTTGACTTAAGCAAAAAAATGGACTTGAGACAAATTTAAGCCAATTTCTAGTTTGATAAATCTGGCCAGTGGTAGGACTAAATATTAATGATCTTATCGTTGCCACCTAACGATATATACCCCCAGAAATTAATTACACTCGAACCAAAGACCAATGCGTTAAGGTGCGGCACACAGTTTGGGTTAAAAAATAAATTAAAAAGACATCTGATATATTGCAATGTTGGTTTTTTTTATTTTTTCAGAATGAATATTTCCATACAACTACCGGTAGTTTTTTTTTTAGACATCAATGTACAAAATGTTAAGGTTTATGGCATATATCAAGACATTACAACATAAAGCAATACAGTACTAACTATACAGACACTGTTGTATTTCTTAAAGACCACACGTCACATATCTGTGAGGGGGTGGGCTTATATTTAAATATTTTAATTGTCATCAGGAATATGTAGTACAACAAAAGGGGTATAGACTATGTCACATGCATCTTCACTATGCCTTGAAATGCTCTCGGCTATAAGTAACCAGAAAAGCTGTACAACACGTCGAAAGATTTTTTAATTTTTCCAAATTAACACGATGATTGAACTTAATCTGATGTTATGCTGGAAACGGTAAATCACTTGCATACATGAAATTAAACCAGCACCGTTATATAGATCACATGATCAACAGTATTAAACAGAACAGTATAACAAGTATAAACGATTTGGTCATAACCAAAAAAAAATTTACTCTGAATAAAAATTATAAACCATGTTTACACAACAAATTTTGTCATTCGGTGATGAACTGAGTTGTATGTTATTTGATAACTTAATGACTTTTTTTGTAGTGTAATTGTTGTGTGCACATTCGATATCTTTGTAATAATTGACGTATTAATACAAGAGCAACCAAACGTAACAGATAACTATTATGCACTTAATCGACCTCCTCCATGCATGAGGAATCTTCTTCAACAGATTGACTTTTTTTGTTGTGTAATTGTTGTGTGCACATTCGATATTTGTAATAATTGACATATTATTACAAGAGCTATCAAACGTAACAGACAACTATTATGCATTTAATCGACCTCCTCCATGCGCGAGGAATCCTCTTCATCGTCCCCTTCAAGTGGTGGCAAATCCTCATCTGCAGTTGCTTCTTCTGTGGTACCATCATCATCAATTCCTGTTGCAAAAAGTATAAATTAATTGTTATATTACATTTAATTGTTTAAAATGATATTACTATTATAACATTTAAATTATAAATATATTACTATGTCTATTCGAATAAATGCCCCTGGGCATCTATTGTTGAAGAGGATTTTTGAGGGGGCGTTTATTCCAATTGAGGTTCTAGAGGGGCGCATTTATTCAAATAAATACGGTATTGTATTAATATATTAATTACAATAACACTATACATAAAACCGAAAGGTCCACTGATTAATCTCAGATAAGAAAGTATAATACATATTTCAAGTATTGAAATACACGCCATCGTGTTGGGATTCAATATTTCGACATTAATTATGTCATCATCAGGAATGAAAAAATTATTCATATTAGCAAGCTTATATGCACTAGTACCAAAAGTGTTTAACCAATCAAAACATTACCTCTAGAATTACAATGTAATGTAAGTAATAAATTAGGTTTAATATTTTCTAGTACTAACATTATTGACAGCTCCCGAAACTGGTCTATCCTATTATTTAAAGAAGCGTTCGCTATACGTAGACTACACCCTTTGCTTAACAATGGGCTCAGAGCTTCAAAAGAGCTTTCTTTGTTTTTGTAGGTAGCTTTGATCATTAGAGTAAGAGTGCTTTGATCTTTTGTGTTATGTCTGTCTCTTATACACATCTAGATGTGTATAAGAGACAGGTTAAACACTTTTGGTACTAGTGCATATAAGCTTGCTAATATGAATAATTTTTTCATTCCTGATGATGACATAATTAATGTCGAAATATTGAATCCCAACACGATGGCGTGTATTTCAATACTTGGAGTATGTATTATACTTTACTATACATAAATTTCTAATACAATTGAAGTACAGTTATCATCCAGTATAGATTTCGATTTTGGGCCAATAAAATTACTGTGCGCAGCAAAAGCAAGGTCAAAATGAATTGCAACTTACCAAGACCAAGCTTGATCATTCTGTGGATACGGGCAGCATGCACATGTGGATCATCCAATGAGAAACCAGATGACAGCAAGGATGTTTCAAACAGCAGCATTACTAGATCTTTGACTGATTTGTCGTTTTTGTCGGCATCCGCCTTCTGTCGGAGAGTCTCCATGACGGTGTGGTCTGGGTTGATCTCAAGGTGCTTCTTGGCGGCCATGTAGCCCATCGTACTGCTATCCCTGAGAGCCTGGGCTTTCATGATCCTCTCCATGTTAGCTGTCCATCCATACTGGCTTGTTACAATACAACACGGTGATGTTACCAGTCTGTTAGAAACTACAGGGTGGGAGAGATTCAATATTCACAATTAGCAACTTTAGTAATGCACTATATTTAAGTAAAGTTTGTTGCATACTCGTGTGTCAACTTTTTAATGTACCCATACTTGAGCAACAAATTAAGGTAATAGTCTGTATGTCACAGGTCATTATCCTGACCACCAACATTTATCCTGATCACAATTCCCAACAGAGGTGGTTGTTATATTCCTTATATATATATGCATTACTCAATTGTAATGTCCTGAATAGCAGAATACAAAGTTTTCCTATTTACCTTCTCTACTTTTTTGTCCAGAATTTCTTTCATCACTGTGCACAAGTTCTCAAACTTGGACTTCTGTTCCTCTCGCTTCTTCTTCTGTTCCTCGTCCTCTGGAAGTTCCAAACCTTCCTTTGTGACAGAGACTAAAGTCTTGCCGTCGTACTCCTTCAACTGCTGGACGCAATACTCATCAATGGGCTCGGTCATGTAGATTACTTCAAATCCTCGCTTCTTGACCCTTTCAACAAACGCGGAGTTGTTCACTTGATCCTTTGATTCACCTGTAATAACAACAAACATTTTATATAGTTAACACATGGCTTGCCGTTCAGGAGTAGAACAATATTTAATTTATTTTTTAATTGTTTTAGGCCCACAACCAAGCATATGCCAAACAGCAAAAACATAAATCACTTTTCAAAGTGGCATATCCCTTCACAAGACAAATGCAAAATGCTCTACACAAACTACATTATGAGTTGTTTTTCATCGCGAGACAAGAATTTTGTCACCTTGACAAGGTACTGAACCCAAGACCCTGGGATTGGAGAACCAGCATCTTAACCACCAAGCTATTCAACTCCACTAAATGTGGAAACTGTATTCAACTCCACTCAATAATTATGGCAACGGTTCTTGTGCATGTATTGTACAGAAATTCATTGATTCTATTGCCGTGTATACAGACACCATTATTATTACCTGTGATATAGTAGATTTGTGTCTGGTTTTCTTTCATCCTGGATACATAGTCCTTTAGACCGGACATCTCATCGCCAGAGTGCGAGGTAAAGTAGCGGAGATGCTCTGCCAGCTTGGCACGGTTGGTTGAGTCCTCGTGGATGCCAAGCTTTAAGTTCTTGCTGAACTGCTCGTAGAATTTCTTGTAGTTGTCTTTGTCATCGGCGATGTCGTTAAAGAGCTCCATGCATTTCTTAACAATGTTCTTCCTAATGACCTTGAGAATTTTGCTCTGTTGCAGCATTTCACGGGAGATGTTCAGTGGCAAATCTTCTGAGTCGACCACACCCTTTACGAAGTCTGTGAGAAACAAAAGCATTTAAAAATAAACATTCAATTTTGTTCACCTGAGAAGCTCACGATTGTCAGTCAGCAGTGTCTTGATACACTACACGAATTCCAGTAACTGGACGGAACCTCAGGATGTTTAAATTGCATGCGGATGAAACATGAAATACAACGCAAGTTTAGAGTACAGCCAAATACTTCTTTTAAATAATTACAATATTTCTTTTTTTAATTCTACAATTTATACAGAGGAAACTGTTTTAATGAACACTATCAAATTTAAATCAATTTTTCAAGCAGTGTTAGAAATTGCAAGGGCAACTTACTAAGGTACTCTGGCATTATTTCTTCGCAGTTGTCCATGATAAATACACGTCGGACATACAGTTTAATGTTGTTTTTCTTTTTCTTGTTCTCAAATAAATCAAATGGCGCCCTCTTTGGCACAAACAGGAGTGCTCGGAATTCTAGTTGTCCCTCAACAGAGAAATGCTGAAAAGAGATTTTAAATGTTGAACGATTTAGGTTTTTTTTTTATAGAGGTATTGGGTTAATAAGTTTACAAGACACTTTTCGTCTGCTACCCGGTAAACCTGAATAGGTAAATCTCGTGGTCAACCACAAGTGCCGCCTGAACCAGTACGCCAAGGTATACCCTACATGTCTTGAATGATGTAGGTGTTCTTTAAAGTGCGTGAGCCAATAGTGTATACTGGGCCTACCCCTTTTTAGTCCTTAACCATGAAGGCTTTTCTAACACCAGAAACTGATGATGACATATGTCCAAATATTGAATCCCAACACGATGGCGTGCATTTCGATACTCGGAGTATGTATTATACTACCTTATCCGAGAAACTTGATTGCTAATAATCGATTTAGTACAATCACTGTATTCTAGTGACCAGCCATTTACATTGGGCAGTTACAAGTGGGCCTCATGTAGAACATACCTTAACAGCGAGGTGGTCTTCCCAGTCATTTGTCAGACTCTTGTAAAATTCACCATACTCCTCTGTGCTGATGTCATCTGGGTTACGTGTCCACAGTGGTTTAGTTTTGTTCAGTTCTTCATCTTCTAGATAGTTTTCCTGCAAAATATAAATTTCACGTCAGTAAAAATTTCATCACAAATGAGAATATGTAATATTGCAACAGATTTGCAACTGGTTTTGCAGCAGATACCAGTGCCATTAAATGACATATTATATAGCATATTAGGTTGTCTATATTGCACCTCAATAGAGTAGCTGAAAATATAAAAAGATGACAAACAAGGGGAAGAAAATATTTAAATGAAAAAAACCCACCATAATAAAACAAGAAAGCAACTTTTAAGCCCCTCTATAAACAGGCAGATGAAATGGTGAACATCTTAGGATTGTTAACTATGAAAGAACAGTTGAGGCAAGCCTGAAACCCCTATTAAAGCGAAATTGATTGTGTAGCAAGGGGAAGATTATGGACATATTGTACTATGGTATAATCTTGAACTGGTAATTTTTAAACGGTGGATTTAGCACTTACTTTAATTGTCTTCTTTTTCTTTTCTTTCTTTTTCTCTGCTTCTTCATCCTCATCCAGATCTTCAATCTTTGGCTTGTCTGGGTCCTCCTCTTCATCCTTCTTTTCTTCCTCCTCTTCCTCTTCATCATCACTGACTTCCTTGTCTCGTTGCTTTGAACACTGCAAATATCATTTAAAGTTTAGCACACTTTTGATGTTAGCCACTTAATTACATTTTTTTTTTTATTCAGAAAGTTTACTTCAAAGTGTATGTACCACATCAATGTCCAACACTGAAGGCCATAGTTGCATATTTATCAACCGTAGACTATACTAGCACCCAGTATGTTTAATGGTTCGGTGGTTTTAAAAGAACCGTGTATTTGAGTAAGGTCATTCCTACTATCTTTTATTATTAAAAAATAATTATAAACATGATTGAAAAAACTCACAACAAGAATGATTGGGTATCCAATGAACTGACTGTGTTTCTTCACGATTTCTTTGATTCTCTTTTCCTCTAGATAATCAGCCTGGTCTTCTTTGAAATGCAGAACAATCTGTGTTCCTCGTTTAATGGTATCGTCTATTGAAAAATAAACCAAAACAATAGTTCATAGGCGAAACCACGCAATTAAAGTCTTGATAAATATCAATCTAGAATTATGTATACACCAAAGGTAATTCATGTGCTACAGAATGATTTTTCCAAGACTCCAATAGAACTGAATGCCAGAATTTATTGCATCTCACCTGAGCATGTTCTGATGGTGAATGAACCACCTGCTGATGACTCCCACGTGTAGCACTCGTCGTCGTTGTGCTTGGACGTGACGACCACTTTGTCAGCTACCAGATAAGCTGAGTAGAAACCAACACCAAATTGACCAATCATAGAGATATCAGCACCTGCCTGTTAAATGCAATTCACAAAAACTAAATGTTACTAAATTCTAGTTAAAGCTGAAAGATGGGAACAATGTTTAATCGAAAATATATTGTTAAACATTTTGCCAACAACGTAATTGTACCACAGTTGTGTCATCACGATGCCAGATGGCGCTCTCTGTTGTCAACGGACGTTGGTTACCGTTCATTACACATGAATGACTCGCATTATATTAGTTATCGAACACATATTTAATCATCAATTAAAATTCACAAAGAAAAAGTAAGATACAACATCTTAATAATCATGTTAGAAATTGGAATCAATGGTTTGTCAGTGAGGAAAATGGATTCCCGCTGAAAGCTTTTTGCAACGGTAGCAATGCAAAAAGTGGTATCGTGATGCAACACTGTAGCACTTTTTGACAATACTCAATTGTTCAGGGCTAGCTCATTTACATCCTCATGTTGGTCTGATGAAAAATTAACAAGCTATTTCTTCATTCACAACAGCTTAAGAAAATATAGTGGGCTAGCAAGTTTGTGGGGCCAAGTGAAATCTAGGCAATTAGCCCCGTGGACTAGTTACAAATAAAAGTTAGAGCAAGGCCTGCTGGCACTTATCTTCAAATACCCTGTAATGAAGAACCCTTTTATGTAAAACAACATCTTAATGAGATGTATCTCACAGCATCTCGTTTCCCCAGGCCCATGTTGAAAATGGAAGAATTTATGATAAATACCTGAAGAGCCTCCATGAATGCCTTTGTGCCACTCTTTGCAATTGTTCCCAAGTTGTTGATAAGATCTGCCTTGGTCATGCCAATGCCAGTGTCTGTCAGGGTCAGGGTCTTCTCCTCCTTGTTGGGGACAATGCGGATGTTCAGGGACTTCTCGCTGTCCAGCTTGCTCGGGTCGGTGAGACTTTCATATCGGATCTTGTCGAGGGCCTAAAACACAAAAATGGGTATTAATAATGCCATTGATATTTTTTGTTGCCCTCACGTATCCCTGAAAGCTTTTCATTAATGAAAATGGGAAGGGGACAATGTGAAAATTAGGTGCTAGCTGGGGAAATCGGTTAATACATATTTTTTTTCACGCAATTTAGTTTTGGGCGTCTTGTTCTACAGAAATGCTCCACTACAGCAGGATATGCCACCATTCATAAATGATAATTTTCCCGGAAATGAATCACTAATGGGAGTGAAAAAAAAAATTATAAATTATTTAAATTCATTCGAGACAATGTGAAAGTTGGGTGCTAGCTGGGGAAATGGGTTAATATATTTTTAGCGCAGTTTAGTTTTGGGCGTCTTTTTATAAAGAAATGCTCCACCAATGGCAGGATATGCCACTTGTCATAAATGACAATTTTCCCGGAAATGAATCACTAATGGGAGTTAAAAAAAAAAAAAAGAAACATTCATAAATTATTCAAATTCAATACTTTCAAAATGTAAACACTTTAATAAGCTTATCTATGACAAAATTTGTATAAAATTTGCTAAATTGAGCCTTCATTTATCCTACAGTATATAACATTTAATATATTTTTAACTACCATCACCAGTTTCTACTTACATCAGAGGAGTTGGAGATGAGTTCTCTCAAGAAGATTTCTTTGTTGGAGTAGAATGTGTTGATGATGAGGCTCATAAGCTGAGCAATCTCCGCTTGGAATGCGAATGTTTCTACTTCAGCATCTTCTTCCATTGGTTGTACATTTTCAGTTTCAGCCATCTATAATTTTAAAAGAATACAAATTTAATGATGTGCTTTAGTCAAAACCAAAAAAATACTAGATTAAAAAAAAAACCTTAAGTTTATCGAATATCCAAATTGTCATAACTTCTTTTCGTTCTTAACCAAAATGGCCCCGCCTAGTTGTGCTCCCACTTACTAGAAACATAGAACGCCTGCTTTTGTACACTCCACCACTATTCGGCTACGGAAAATTGGAAAGTCTATGGCCAACCCCTATTCTGGGGACATCCCTATTAAGCAGACACTATTTTTGGTCCTGAAGGTGTCCCTTTATGGGGTGGGTGCAGCCTTTACAGGGTATATTTTTGAGGACTTGGTAGCACAAGTGTGGGAATTATTGGGGGGGGGGTCACTTAACTATTTTTGGTCCTGAAGGTGTCCCTTTATGGGGTGGGTGCAGCCTTTACAGGGTATATTTTTGAGGACTTGGTAGCACAAGTGTGGGAATTATTGGGGGGGGGGGTCACTTAAATATTTCTATACTTGGGAGGTGCCACATTTACAGGTATATTTTTGAGGACTTGGTAGCACAAGTGTGGGAAATATGGGGTGGGGGGTTGCAGCATTTATGGGGTATACTTGCGAGGACTTTGTAGCGCAAGTGTGGGAAATAACCGGGGTGAAATTGGCCTTCTCTGGCACTACTGAGTGGCCTTTTTCCGGTCGTCTTTTAGGGCAATGCGATTTTGGTAAATGGTAGTTCAAGTCCATAAGGATTTTTACTAAAATTGATAGCGTGTCTCATGTCTTGAAGTGGCTGCGGCACCCCCTGTTCGGTTGGTTACCAAGTGAGCTCCCCAAGATTCCAGAAAGAACATAAGTTTTTCTTTCTTATTATATTTCTTTAGATATCGTCTTGTGCTCAAAACCTTGGGGTTGTGATTGATTCAAAGCTTTCTATGACAAATCACATTTCCAATATTTGCAGGTCGTCCTACTCTTATCTTAAAAGTATTAGCCGTATACGGAAAAACCTTCGATCGGGATTTCAGTTTTTGGCAAAGGTGAAATCTGTTAAAGTACTGCGATTGGATGGTAAAAATTCTAAAGTAGCATTTAAAGACCGTGCTTTTGAGAATATTGGTCCTCGGCTTATCAACACTTTAACCCTTTATATTAGATCTTGTTCTACCATTGATGTTTTCAAGTCTCATTTGAAAACACATTTATTTAAATTTAATGTTTAACTTTCTGCAGGTCAGGTATATATTCAACTTGTAGTTCAGCTTCATGAAACTTGATGTACAACTGTATATTCTTGCATTTTAAAAGCTCTTTATTTTAAATTTAAGACACATGATGTACTGTATATCCTTGCATTTTAATTGCTCTATATTTTAAATCTCCAAGACACATATGTACTGTAGTTTTTTTTCGGCATTTTTAACCTTTTGATGTAAATTTTGATGGTTTGGTAGACTTGTCTTTTTCATTACAAAATACAAAAAATTCAGTGTTTCACCGTTCTATTTCATGTCGCGTTTTTTAAAAATTTCAATGTAGATTTTTGATGTGTTAAATGGTATTGTGATGATTATAATTGGTTTCAAACATTTCTATTAGCTTTTAATGTATATTTCCTATATGTTTAAAGTGTATGTTGGTCTATGAATATTTTTAAATTCTGTACAGCGCCGATGAACATTTTTAATGGATATTGTTTTGCGCTTTATTAAATGAAGTTATTATTATTATTACACCCATCGCTGCCTTGAATTTCCATAAATAATTTCTTCCTAATTACACAACTTTCTAGGATTTAACCATCCCATTATTACTGCATGGTTACCAATACAATTTTGTTTTCTTCTCCATCAGGATGTTTTTGGCAAACTCTTTGCTACATGAAGAACACAAATTATATCTTTATTTTTTTTCTGCCCTCCTCTAACGATCTTTAAAAAAATAAGTTTTTGAAACAAGGTATGACAAAAGTCTCGCCTTATCTTTAACTAGGAAGTGAATTGCAACACAGAATATTCCAGAAATTCATGAACCAGCAGGAAGAAAATAGGATTGCTTAATTTCTCTAATATGAAGATTTTCACAAGTTTCTTATTTTTGTGACTGTGCTACGATCTACAAACAAAATACCTGTTTCATTCAATTTTTCTAGTTAGGCTAGGCCTAGATCTTACACCAACAAACAGTACAGACTCAGCCTGGGTGGTAACGGATACTCAGGCTAACTAGGCTAGCATTTTAACATTGAACAACTCATAATTTTACGCCAAGTAAGTACTGTTACCAAAAAAACAACCAAAAAACAACATATTGAAACAATGAAACGAGACCGTACACAAGACTATCACGGTCCACTGCTTGATTTCAGGTATGATAGTATAATCAGGATTCCTGATGAAGACATAATTAATATCGAAATATTGAATCCCGACACGATGACGTGCATTTAGATACTTGGAGTATTATACTATCATATATATTATATATACATATAAATTATATATATATAATATAGACCTATATAAAGTTAATATATAATCGGATACAAAATTAAAATATTATATTTTTTGTTATACAAGTAATGTAGTTCTAGTAACGTCGAATGAATGACTATTTTTTTATCTGGCTTATTGCAGATAGGTTGATAACAATGGAAAAACCTAACTAATATAAATTTCAACGTGTCCTAAATAAAGAGGTTGTATTTTGACTTCTGAAAAGAGATAATTAAATTGAAATTCATGGTTTATTCACGAGCACAAGTAGGCCTACTGCTACCTAAATATCCAGTCCTAAGCAAGCCTACGGTACCTCTACATACCGTTTTCAATAATGAAACCGGTAACGTTTCATTTAGCTGTGTATACTGGGTTATCAAAAAATTTTACTTTCGAGGACTTCATTCAATATCAATTACCGGTATCAGCGCTCTCGTTGTTCAGTGATTTTAACACAATCGCCATTATATCGGATGGCAAAATCTCATAGACGGTGCGTACTAAAACCAATACACCAAATACACAATATGAAAATTCACAAAGTTAAGTAACATTATGAAATGAAAGTTGTTCACTACACCGCAACACGACAAAATTAAAATAAATTTGCAATTGTAAAATAATTACCTGTAGCTCATTGCGTGTTGGTCAGGTATTTGTGTCTACCGCCCTCTTGAGAGCAGAGGAGGCACACCATACTACCTTCTGAAAACTTTCGGAGGCCTCTGACACCCTCTCACTGGGAACCTATTTTTTATATATAAAATTATATAATACCGTAAAACCCTTAATTGGAGGTTTTACGGTATAAATAAGCCTGTTTTTTAAATAAGTGTATGTTTTAACGACATTCTTGTTTAACATAGGCTATGCCTACTCTGTGCAGCCTAAATTATTTTTTAATGTATTTATAATGTATGTAAGTAAGTACATATTTTGCGATATAATGTGCAATAATATTTGGACATAAATTATATTTCTTAAATTTCAGGTAGATTTTTCTTTTTTCTAAGTGTAAAAACTATGAAGGAACCTATTCATATCGTAGGCCTACACTGTATCTTCGTGTTAAACTGCCATTAAATGTCACATTAGAGGGCCTTAATATTATTACTAATTTAACCAATGAGGTAGTATATAAAATATAATTTTAATAAATGGGTTACGCCTCTTTCCGCCCAGTTTTTAAATACAGTATTACTAAATTGTCATAGTTTACAAAGGGGTGAGATGGGGTGGAGGGTGTCCTTAGACGCACTCTGAAGAGATCCGAGCAAGCCTGACCACGCTCGTTTGGGGACATTCCCATGACTACCTTCGGGCAAATCCTGCCGCCACCATTTGCATGAGTGTACGAACTCTATCATTTGCAGAATGATAGTAACCAACATGTAACAACACAATATAAAATTAAAAACACATTACATGTACAGCTTTTTTTTCTGAACACTTCAATTCACTTTAATTTTCATTTGGGTTCAGCAAATTCATCAAATGACAGTGCTTAAAACAGAATTATCTTAAATTCAAGAAAACATTTCTACAAAATTTCCTCGATTGCTAAAATATAATTATACAACTTGTAAACTGTATCAAGATATATCATAGAACCATATTTCCAAGGTATGAAAGTAGTAAAAATGTAGCGCGTATATTAGTAACTTCTGTACAGTGAATAACTTCTTGTCTGTAAAGATGTTAGGTGTGTATTGACCCAATACAAACGAAAACAAAAAGGGTGTTTGACAAAAACGCTTAATGAGATACAGATTTCTGAATATTTAAAAAACTGGTAGAATATTCTTGATTCTAAATACAGTATTAAAAAATCTATCATATTTTTTGTCAAACACACATTTTGTGTCTTAAGCTTTGTCTACAATATCAAATGTTATGTGACAAAAAAAATGTGATGTGCCCATATATGGGTACAATAACGTCATATCACATATCATCAAATTGTACTGTATCATAAAAAGTTGAACGTGTCCAACTCTATGTTCCATCAAATTTTACAACAACAATTTTTGATGAAATTTGATAGCGTAGACAAAGCATTAGAAAAATCAGTTGTACAACATATAAATTCCCCCCCCCCTCCCCCACTGGAGCCTGGATTTAAAATCTGTTCTGACATTCTTTAGAAACAAAGGGTTAGAAGGAAAAAATGGTTTTAAGGAAAGTGGGGAAGAGTCTTCAATTACTTTGGCTTTTAACAATATTTGGATTGCTGTTATTATAAATATGCAGTAATTTCAGTTGTTCCTTACTACTGTATACTATTATACATTTATACGTTTGATGTGTGTTGTGAAAATATTATAGGTGTGATTTTTTGCAAGTGATTCTGGAGGGAATTGAACCTACCAACTCCAGATAACTAGCCTGGTGACAAAACCACTAGACCACTGAGATCGGATTAAACACTATTCACTAAGTGTACGTTCAGTGGTCTAGTGGTTATGACAAAATGGAATACAAACTACTGTACGATTGCCCACCGTCTTTCCGATGAGACGTTTAAGCAGTTGGTCCCGTGTGCAATATGGCCAATGTGCACGTTAAAGAACACAGTACACTTTTCAGAAAAAAAAGTAGGGGATTGTCTCTTGGTGTACTGCCCAATTCACCACCAGAAGGGACCCCACTGGAACCAAGTCTTCGGACTTAATGGGTTATTCTTGGTGTGAGTCACACCGAAATATTCCTATCCTATACCTAAGATGGAAGAGATTACATTTGGTTCACAGAAACCAAAAATATCATTTTTTTAAATTTGATAACTTGCGTATCACAACGTAAAGTTGATTGTATAACATATAAATTTCTCCATATAAAAATAGTTTTACAAGAATTTATTAACAGTCAATAGAAGAAGGTGCATAAAAACTGTAACTGGCTTCTCAATATACTGTAATGACTTATCTGCTTTTCGAATTGCAGTACAAATATTAGAATTCATCAACCCACAACAAAATCAATTTATATTTCTGAACAATATATATATATATACATAATAAATTCCTACATAGAATTTTCCAATAGAAATAATACTACAGAGTAGAAATTATAATTTTACTTGACTCAATGAAACAAATTCACTGACTGAATTTACCAATTGAAATAATACAATACAAGTAAAAATTACATTACTGTATACAGCATAACAAAATGAATTGAATTCAAATTAATATAATTTTCATATTTCATGAAGTGGTGCATATTATACTTAAAACAAAACATTGAACTTGGTACAAAGTCTACAAAGAAAAGATGGATTACTATACCCAGTGGCATATATATATAAGGGGGAATGCTTGTGTATCATATCATCCTTTTCCCCTACAGCTTGGCTGATGGTAGTTCTAACGGAAATTGCTTAGACAATGGATGTGAAAAAAATGATCATGAAATGTTAGCGTTTGGTTAAAACATTGGAACTATTAAACACCAATTCTGCTCCATAACATCTTAAGAGAAGGGGAGGGTTCCTTGAAGAAAAATGTAACATTCCTGCTTATAAATAAACATGAGATCATAGCAATAACCTCATGTTTATTCATGAGTAGTGCAAGTACTGAACACTGTGAATCAGTGATTCTTTGTGATCATTCTAATCCAATTCATGGATAACAATATTTGAAAAACTGACAGCACTGGCAGTTCGATGGTCTTGGAGTTCAAGCGGTTTGTCCGCATCATCGTCAACTGCAATGATTTCACCTGATTTCATCTCCACATTGTTGTTATTTAACTGTTGATGTTCCTTATTGTCTTCTTTTAGAATCACCTCATCATCGGAGGTTTCCAATCGTTCACTCTTGTTTTCATCAAACGCTTTAGTCTCTTCCTCCGAAGTTTCTGATCTTTCGCTAAGACTCTCACTACTCCGTTTACCACTCTTGCTTGACCTTTTCTGTCTTTTCGTTTTTCCCTTCTGTCTAGGAGACTGAATTCTTGATTCTACTGCCTCTGAATCGCTATTTTTATCCCCAACATTTTTCAGGGTTCTCCTGTTCCTTCTCCGGTTTTGACCGGTTTCCCTTGGTTTCAAGATATTCACTTTGATATTATTTGAGTTAAGCACAAACTCAGAATCGCTGAAAGAATTCCAAGAGTTATCTTTGATCTTCTCATAGGACAGAGTGCGTCTTACTTTGGGCGCTTGCCCCTTTTTGCCTTTTCCTTTTTTTACTAGCATTTCAACCTCGACCTCTTCACAGAAGCTAACAGATTTGTGACAACGTCTCCTGTTGCCACTTAGAAGGCTTTTTAAGGATGACGGTGAAGTTGGCGTTGATGACTGCGATGTAGTGTCATTGCAACCATCAAGGTCGAGGTTCTGCCAAGCTGTTGCAAGAATGGCTACATCATTCTCAGACTTGGTCTTTGAATCCTCAGCACCATTGATGTTATCATCCTTTGCACCACTGATCTTGGAATCACCAGCACCATTGATCTTTGATTCCGTTGTGCCATCCAACTTCTCATCCTCTCCATCATCTATCCTTCCATCTCCTGCACCATTCATCAGACTGTATTCTGCATCATTCCCCAACTGCAAAAAAATTACACATATTTGAATTGCTGGTTTCTCACACAAATTTTAACTACAAATATTTTTGGGACCTCTGTGGAAACAAAACTCAGGGCTTACAAAGCTATCCCCTGCATTCCTTTCTCATTTTATATTCTGTGTTCTATGTTTTGTGTTTGCTTTTTTAATTTATTGTATTTTGATGTATTGAAATTGGAGTGCAATAAATATTACAGATTGATTACACCTTCAGCAGACAGACACGCATGGTTCAAATCATGTTGCAAATTTAAATATCTAACGGAAAAAAGAGAACTTCATCTGCATTTTACAATATCACCACCATCATTGGTTTTCAGAATATAAATATTCTCCTCGTTGTGATTTGAACCTAGAATCTCTAATCTTAATCTGGGTGACCTACCAACTTATCTTTATGCTAATTAAGACAGGCCCGTAGGCAGGATTTTCAATGGGGAGGTGCGTTTTGCAACCGAAGTGGACCTTACAATGGGCGACTGCCTAGGGATCCCCGCGAGGGTGGGGCGAATCTTCTGGAAATAATAGGTTTTAAAAAGTGGACTTTTTGAAATTTGGTGGTCCAGGGGCAGAGGCCTGGAGGGGGTTTATGAGAAAATCGACAAAGTAGCCTTTTGAGGGTCTTGCATAATAGATTTCTCAAACACATAATTCATGAATATTTCATTTAAATTTTCGTTAATTTGGGTGTTTTTGGGACCTGAAGAAGTAACGTTATTATGTTCTGTACATCTGCAGATAACATTCTTCATTTTATATAGATCAATCTGCAATCACCGGAGACGATCAATTTCTAACAAATTTCATACCACATTTATATTAAAAATCAACGGTTAGATAAGCTGGCAAATATATAATGCAATGCATGCTATAGCATTTTGTGATAATTAGGAACGATTTTGTGAAATCATAGGTTTTAAAAAGTGGAACTTTTGGAATTTGGGGGGGGGGTGCATCCGCACCCTCTGCACCCCCATGCCTACGGGCCTGTAAGAATACTACTCGAACAACTTTTATGAGCGATATTATGTGAATTGGTGCAAGACAAACAAGACAACCATGGTGGAAGACTTACACTGATGTGCAGATGCATTTTGTCCGCATCTAATGTAGTCACATTCAAGTTTACATCATTTGCACCAATGTTATCGAACACACCACTGTTGTTACTGTCTTCATCAAACACTGTCTTGACATTATTTTCAGTTAAGAACATCTTTTCCTGCCAGATGAAAATAAAATTAAATGTCACAATGCAATATTATTCAAAAATAATACAGCAGAACCCCTCCTTTGGGACACTCCAAAGTGACACCACTATGGCTGTGAAGAGAGGGAATGTATCTTTTGATACCATGGCCAACCCATATTCAGGGGACAAACCTTTTAAGGGGACACCTTTTTCAGCCCTGAAGGTGCCCCTTTAATAGGGGTTCTACAGAGTAAATTTTGTTTCCCTAGTCTCCAGGTCTGCTGAGAGTGGCCTGGACCAAATAGAAGTGGTCCGTGGGCTAAAAAGGGGCCCAGCCAAAGCGAGTAGCACGATATGCTACCCACCCACCATCTCATGGCCACTGCTTTCCCATGTAATATTAATTTTTTTAATGATATACATGTTAAAACATACATTTGAATGTTTAATCTATCTGAAAAATAACTTTATTAAAGTGGAATAACTGAAATCATTGTAGAGTAGAACTGTTTAATCAATAATAAACCAAGCACAATTTGATGTAAGCTTACTGCGAGCTTTCGTCTGTTGTTAACATGACTTTGTGGTATATGTTAGAATAAACAGTTCTACAATCATTATAAGCAAATCAGATGAAACTATTCGAATATTACTGAAATCATGTAATAAAAAATCCTGTTTGAGTCGCATTATTTTGCACTCATGCATAGTTTCAAAATCACAGAATATAACACTAGTAGTGCTCAGTAATGGTAATTCTGTATTATCAAAGTGTGAAAGTTGCTGGTCACAATGACAATAACATACGAGAATGACATATATTTGCTGGTACATTACTGTATGTTTACAACATAGGCCAAGGGATATCAACTCAAATTCAACACTAGTAGTGCTCAGTAATGGTAATTCTGTATTATCAAAGAGTGAAAGTTGCTGGTCACAATGACAACAACATACGAGAATCATAATGACATATATTTGCTGGTACATTACTGTATGTTTACAACATAGGCCAAGGGACAGCAACTCAAATTTTCTGTACCTAAGTCTAGTCGCAATTTTTCAAACCCAGGACTAATCCTGCGTCCTTAAGGTACGTAAAACATTTCTACCGACACACATGCTACTCTTCATAAAGGAGCTTTTAATTTGCGCGACAATGTACTGTAACTCTAAAACAGATTCACTCATCGTTTTAATTCCATAGAGGTATTTCCGGGATGATAATGGGTTCGCCTAAATTATGAAATATGTATGGTCAACTAAAATGTTTTAAAAAAAGTCACACCTGCAAAGATTGCTGGTTAATTCCAGCCATCAGCATATCCCAGAGTCCTTTGCAGCTTGGCTGCTTCTCCAACGCTACTACTACATTTTCTGCTGAGACATCCACCAAGACATCTTTGCTTATCGTGCAACCATCGGTAAACTTAAGATATAGTGAGTACTGAACTGGACCACCAGGGTTGGCTGCGTCCATCATCTTGATGCTGACAGCATCCTGAAGAGCTGGGAGTTGGTAGACAACCGATGCAGGCTGCACACCACACGCATCAATTACCAGATGAACAAAATCACTGTCTTGAGAAAATGTAAATGTTGGATGCACCAATGTAACCTCTTCCTCATTATTCTTGAATAGAGACAATAATAACTATTTAGCAACATTTACACAACAACCAATCAAAGGTAATATGTTAAGGATGTCTACATTGCATCAACGATTAGGTGGATGGAAGCTACCGTAGCCAGTGCTGTATCTAAGGGCAACCAAAAGGTAAATCTCAATGCCAAAAAAACATAGCCTAGAGTATAAATACTAATTGTGAATACCACTATAAAATAAAATATATGTATCTTTATTGATTGTAGAATTCTTAAATTTAAAACCAAGTAACAAATATATACATACTGCTATGTACAATATATATTTTTAGTAGAAAACACAGTACAGTAACGGTAATAAGAATTAGGAGTTTAGAAATAATTTACCGTACATAGAGGAAACAGCAAGATAAGGCATACTGTACTCAACGAATGAGATACAGTATAAAAAAACAAGATTACATAAAATATTTTTTCACTATATGTATATGTAAAATCCATTATCAGACTCTGATTACAGGAGGAATCACAGGTTAATGGAAATGGGAATATTCCCTATGGCCCTACCCTGCAAAACCAGGGACTGTAGTTATAATATATACAGAAACATTAATACAAACTTGTGAGGATGACAGAGCAGGACTAATAACTCTAAACAGATTAAACATGAATGCTGTTCCAACCAACACCAGGAAGAGTCAAGTACTGAATTTCCACAAATGTATTCCTTAATATGTGTAAATATAATCGACAGAGGTAGACCTATTGTTTAATTAGCTTCTGTGACGCATGACTAGTAGTGCATAGCCAATGACTATTGTGCGAGGCCTGTGGCTTCGATATACTTTGACCTAACCTTGTCATCATTCCAAGTCAACAAATTTAAGCAAGCAAAAGATTTGTTATTATTTGTTGAGTACTCAATTCTCTGCAAAAATTAGATTCGGGTTAAACTGTGTCCTAGAATTCAGACGACGAGGACTTTACATTCTTTTATTAAAAATCTTATTATTGTCATGCAATTGAAAGCGCCCTCTATCATGGGGTTTTAACAGGGTATGACATTAGAAATTTAGGGGTACAATATCAGAACGTGAGGGTACGATATTAGTACGTGAGATGAGGTAACCAGGGAGAAATATTTTACTGTGTGTATTTTTTGTTAGTTCTGCCTGCATGAAAATTTGTTTTATAATGTGTTCAAAATTATACTAATTGTTAGTTTTCTACTGAAATAGAATAAATTATAAGTTTTGGTTTAAGCTAGGCCTACTTCAAGCAGCAGTTGACTTGGTTGGGACCCCCCCCCCCCCATCGGACGGACCCCCCCCCCCCCCCCCCATCGGACATGTCAGAACCCCTGTTGGCTGATTTCTGGAGCCACCACAACTTCAAGCTGTACCTTTTCCTCCTCTTTACAATTTACAACTATGGGTTCTTCCATTTTTCCACCTTCAACTTCATTGCTTCCAACAATCTCTCCGTCATGAATATCTGTGTTATTTTCCATATTTTTGAGCCAGTGAACATCACCGTTCGATTCATCTTCAACAGGATCTGGCAGCTCTTGGATCAATGGTTCTGCATTTGCAGTCGCAGGAGCAAAGGATGGCATGGCTGGCAATTCTTGCATTATAACCGGAAGCGTGACAACCAAACATCTTTTGCTCTTGTCAAACTTTGCTGTTCCACGATCATCGTTCACAGGATTAGGTAATGTTATGTCTAGTTTATACGACACAGGCTTAACACACTCAATAACCAACTGTCGTTCATGCACCTCCAAATCAACATTGGCAGCAGAGTCTAAAAGAGGTAGTTTGATTTTGATTACAAGTTCTTTTGGCCGTGTGCTGGTCATAGAGTCAGGTGAATTCGTGAAATTCTGCATGTCAAATTCTCCCCTGTGAATTATAGTATATTCTGGTACAGTATAATTTGGTTTGCTTGACTTTGAAGTAATTTTGTCATTGTCTTTGGGATCTTTTATTGGTGACCTATTTTTGACATCATCGTCATAAGGATATTTTAAGTTTAAAGCAGCAACACCATCTTCTATAGTTTTTGGTTTGTTCCCATTCTGAGTCCTTAACATAGTTGCCACCGGAGTTCCTTTAAATTTTAATTTTTTCATTTCTTTAATGTTTGCCTTATCAAATTTTACTTTAAAGTTCGTTTCAATTCCATCTATGGATGTATCTATCATCAATTGTTTTAATCGAGGTTCTTTTTCAGCAAAAATAAACGTATCTGGGTGAAAAACAACATCATAAACTCTGCAAACTGCACCAGCTTTGTCGAGGTCATCCCTACCATCAGACAAACTGTAGGGCATCGACCACTGGTCACCTTTGGATTTCTTTCCCTGGGCATTAGTCCTAATCGTTGTGGTCGACGAAGCTTTCTCGATTCTATCATTCTTGCAAACATTGATAAATGCCTTTTTATCGCCATTTACGCTTGTTTTCAGCACGAATCCAGGGACAGGGTAAATGAATTGGACGTCAGTTCCACGTGCAGCCTCCATTTTGGTTATCTCCTCTTCATACAATTTACGATTTTCCGGATTTGAGATTTCCTCCGCATATTCAACAAACATTTTTCTAAATTTTTCATCCTTCAATGCATTTTGAAACCTATCTACCTCCTCAGATGTTATGTCCATGTCTTTTAGCGAATCCATTTTACTTTGAGATAATGGCGATACAGTGCAGCAGAAATATTTTAAATGTAAGAAGTATACACTCGCTAGGCCTAGCTAGGTTGATGTTATTGAATTTATCGCTATGCACATCCAGTGCACATGCGCAGACAATACAATTATCGTCAACAACGCCACACAAATAATCGTACAAGATTTGTTTACTATTCAATCAATTAATCGTTCTGTTCGATAGGTGGCGCTATCACTGTTTCAGTTATTATAGAGATTAGTAGTTCTCGTAACCACAAGGACGTACCCAAAAAGGCTTTAAAAAAAATGTTACTTGGTTATAATCGCATAAGTTATCAACTTTTGTTAAGTCACAGATTATTATATAAAAAAAAATTCCATAATTTACAGAAGTTTTACTATCAAAATTCTTAAATTTTCTGCCCAGATTTTCTGGCAGAAATATTAATACTCAGTACTTTGATCATTAATGTAGTAATTAATGCAGTCTACAGGAATATATTTTTTACAGATTTTCGCTGTTGGAAGCTTAAGGAAACACGATTATAACAGACTACAGCGTATCATAAATCAGGCTGAAAAAAATCTACAACAAAATAGACAACTAGATGATATCTGTGAGATTAAAATTATTGATAAAGCAAAGAGTATTTTAAAAGATAGTTCCCACCCACTAAATGCATCTTTTACTTGGCTACCCTCGGGTAAAAGATTAAAATCACAAGTCAATAGAACAAATAGATATCTTAATTCATTTGTACCACTTTCCATTAGAATGCTTAATCAAAATATCAAATACGTTTTATGGCCTAATTATAATTTATTTTCTCCACTACTAGCTACTTATTATTTATACTGACTACTGCATTTTGTTTGCGATGTGATGTACTAACTGATTTTTGAAAGGACAGAAATAAAGAATCTTGAATCTTTATTTTATTTAAGTGGCTGTATATCTTTATTGAAGTATTCAAATTTCAAGTGGTAGCGCCAAGATTTGACCAATAAATGTCGGAGAGGTTCATGACCAGAGGACCAATGTCTCAGACTAGAGCACAAGTGGGCAATACCAAGAACAGCCCAGAACCACACTCAAAAGCTGTCCATGGAACCGTCAGAGGCTCTGACAGTTTCGGCTTATTTATCAACTTTAAATTATAGTAACTCGAAATCTGTAAAATTTAAATTTTTGTCCTCCCAAAACATTGCTTTTTCTTCACCTCCCCTCCACTAGTAACACGTCTGTAAATTACTAGTTATGATGAAAACTCATCCAGCATAAGAAATCACCAGTATTACATTCAGTACTTTATTCAGAGCAATAAATAAGCATCAGTTTGATAAATTAGTATCATTGTCATTATTTATTCAATTTCTCTTTCTAGAAACAATCAACCATTTACCTCTTTTACAACATAAAACAAAGACATATGATAGTAATATAAACAAATGAAATTGTAGAGATAAAACATAAAATATAACACTATAAAGACACGAAAGTTAAAAAAAAAACAATACTGTATAATCATTTGAAATACATAACTAGTGAACATAATAACAGCAATGAAACAAATAAATATACGAAATCTTTTCCCATTTAATAAGGCCAAAAAAACTCATTGTGTTTACTTTTTAAAGCTCTGGCCCGGGATTTATCAATCTCAGCTTAGCAAATGTCTTAAGTCAAAAAAGTTAAGATGTCCCTAATAAATATCTTAAACTGATTTATTACCCAATCTTAGCAAATTCTTGGCTTAAAAATCGTCCTTAGATGGTGCCAACGTACAATCGACTTTATAATTTTAAGCAATTTTTAAGCTAAGCAATATGGATAAATTTGACTTAAGCAAAAATATGGACTTAAGACGAATTTATGCTAATTTCTAGTTTGATAAATCTGGCCCCTGGTCTGCCCAGACCAGAGCTGTGCTATGACATCCTCATGCACATATATATATAGGTGTCATGTGACATACTCATGCCCATATATAGGCAAATCACACTTATTTGTCACATAGAACTTAATAGTGTGGACGGGGCTTAGGGGGAGGAGGCTGCCATTTTTCTTTATTTTTTCTTTACAAAGATGGCCACCAAATGCAGACACAGTCAAATGCCTATAGTATACCAGGCGAAGACACAACCTGGACACTGACAGCTTTTGAAGATGATTACAGTAATGCTAAATTTTTTAATCATGAAAATTTAGAAAAGGTGGCAGGCCAAAAAAAGGATGCAGGTGGGGTCAAAAAACATATTTTTTATTTGGCCTAATAATGGTAAATGAATAAAATAAAAATAATAAACAACAATATAATAATACAGAAATATTGTACTAATATTGGAAAAAAAATCATCTCCTCCCACAATAATTTATGTAAAATGAAAAATATATATATACATAAATAATAGTAATAATAAACATTTTCTTTTAAAGCGCATTCCCGTACTTCAATGTACTATACAAAAAATACAATTTACCAAGACAGACATACAAGCATATGATACAAGGAAATATGAGCGTGTCACAGACAGACAACAAACACTGGAGGCCTTGTTGGTTTTTTTGTCTGGCTTGGTATCACATTTAAGGTTTGCCATTTCAAATGCGGCATCAGGGACCAAAAAATGAAAATTGACTTTATAATATATGGTAGTCCCTATTCTCCACATTATTTAGCTTCAAACTGATTGATCATTTACTGGAATCGACTTATTATTGCTCAAAGTTATGAGTAAAAGTATTACAGCTTCTCTGTACTAAAGTATACAATTCATATGCTCATTACTCAGTTTAACATATATAGCGAAAGTACCCTGGTTTTGAGAAGGCATGCCTCATTTTTCAATTATATTAACAGTATTATTAATATACATACATCATTATCTGTATTTATTATGTTCAATTATTTATTATCATTAATATTACCATTGTTTTTTTTATATATCATTAATGTTGTTCTTACTATTAGCCAATCTATTTACTGTTAAGTGAAGGCCTTTTCAAAAATTTCACTTGTATACACTGTACTAAAAGATTTTCAGATTTTATCTGCTTATTAACATTCAAAAATATTCTTAAATAACATAAATGATAAAATTAAGAATATATAAAAATAACAATAATGTATCACTTGATTATACCAATACAGGTTCATCATAAATTTACAAATTGACGATTAAAAAAAATCAATTTAAATATCCGTATCCAAAACCACAACTGGGTTATACTTCACATGGCTTCTAAATGTACCTAGTTGTGTAGATGGATTAAGCAATGCCATACTAAGAGTACCAGTTTAATAACAATCTGTAAAACATTAACTAAAAAATACCAGTATGGAATGTATTCAAAGTTTTGACAATTCATACTGTGGCAAGTTAATATTATTAAAAAAAAGAAACATTTTAATAAAAAAAAAGATTAATATAAATGAGATAATATCACATAGTTTTTCAAGGCCACTTTATTAGACTGCTGACTACGAGAGTGCATTTTAATTAATTTTTTCCTTTGCAATCAACAAGAAATATACTTGTAAATTCCAGCACAGAACAATGCTATTTAGCTTGTTTAAAGATTGAAACCCAGAATCGAGAGATCAAAAGGTAAACGTTCTACATATCATGCTAAAGTAGTGTCTATGTAAGCAACAAAATGATAGAAGAACACCACAGTTGGGATCAGTGTCGCAGCGGTATTGTGAAAAAGCAGGGGCCACAAGTCTCCTGCAACAGTCTCCTAGAAATTGGAACCATCTCGCACACTCCTAGCTAGCGAGCAAGCAAAAATTCCTCCCGGAAACTAACCACTCTCCTACAAATTCATTATGTTCTGTGGCTTCACATTAAAAAGTGTCTTTTTATCTTTATTATTCTAATTCGAGACCAAAGCTGTCAAAGACCATATAAACCCAGGTCCAAAAGTGGTCTTTAATTGGAGGGAGACTTGTAGTTTCCCTAAAGTTAGATACACATGCTATCACCAGCGCAGCAAGACACTAATAAAATATGTTAAGAAACCTATTGAACCAGAATCTACTGGAACGGTCTTCACCAATTTGGGGCCCCAGCAACACTGTGTTGAAACTATGGTAGATTACAATCAGCAGTAGCACTCTAGAATTTCCTATGAATAACAGGTTAGTAAAGATTTAGCAATTCAGTACAATATGGCAGCAAAGATGCCAGTATACATAAAAAGCAAAATTATTGGTTATAGCTTTAAAAATACCTAACTTATACAATCTGAAAAAATAATCATAATTTTATTTTACATGGCATACACAAAATTAAACCTTTAATCTGGTTGGAAATCAGTCTGATGAATTTCTGACAAAGCCGGTTATCACGCTATGTACAGACAACTGCATTGCTGACATCACAACACCCTGTCACAACACTATGTTACCGAGTAACACAACAAAGCACAAGATACAGCTGAGTCGTTTCTCAGCAAAGCTACATTTTACATAGTGTTTTCAAATAAAAGGATCCTGCTAATCTAAGACCACTCCAATTAAAGATTGATTCTGCGGCCCCAAATTGAATTAAATAAAATCATGAGAACACAAATTACAATTTTTATAGAGGCCATGCAGTGCTTTCATAACAATTTTATTTTTTTTCCCTCTTTTTTTTGGGGGGGGGGGGCGGAGCTAGCTATTACCCATCAAAATTAGAGGGTCTCAGAATTAGAGTGGCCACAGAATTTAGAGGGACTCAGCATTAGAGTGGCCTTAGAATTAGAGGGTCTCAGAATTAGAGTGGCCTCAGAATTAGAGGGTCTAAGAATTAGAGTGGCCACAGAATTTAGAGGGACTCAGCATTAGAATGGCCTTAGAATTAGAGGGTCTCAGAATTAGAGTGGCCTCAGAATTAGAGGGTCTCAGAATTAGAGTGGCCTTAGAATTAGAGGATCTCAGAATTAGAGTGGCCTCAGAATTAGAGGGTCTCAGAATTAGAGTGGCCTTAGAATTAGAGTGATCTTAAATTGGAGGGTGCACTGAAGTTGCTCAATAACAACAATGTAATGTGGTATCATGACATAATGACAAAGTACTCTGTATAGACTGGTTGTCATGTTCTATTATTTCAAACTTCACAGTCTAAGCAAAGAATATAATTACATGAACTGTATTGTTTATGCATTATATATTGGTAAAGAAAATATTTGTTATGACCTTCTAAGTCTACTAGTTGAGTGCTGAAAGTATATCGTTAACCAGGCCTGGAAATAAGCTGTTTGCGCCTCCGACCATGAAAAATGCCTCCAGCACCAAATGTTATCTGCTCACTATACAGCCCAAAAGTTTGTTTTGTTTTGTTTTTTTTCCTACGAAATGCCTCCGGGACTGTCATAATGCCTCCGACCACCGGTCGCGTGGTCACACAGTTTTTCCAGCCCTGTCGTTAACTATATATTATGTACACCCTAGTATAGTATTTTTTAAGTCCATTTAATCCCACTTCTAGGATTTTATTTTGCTTAACCAAAAGTATTTTCCTATCTGCAAATATTAACTATTATTTATGATAATTGTTTTTTTTTTTTTTTTTTTGGTTTGTAGGACCATTTATGTACCTTTTAAACCGACTGATCTATTAAACAACCTAATTTTAAAATCTGACAACTTAAGCTTTCTTAATAAAAGTTATACATAAAATAAAATTAATTCAATTCCATATTGTAATTTTCAAGTCACTTTGAATAATAGACTCTATAATATAATTTCTTGGATCTGAAGAGCGAATAAGAGTTGTCGAAACGAAGTAGATAAATTCCCTTTCCTGGGTAAGCATGGCTGCCGGCGAACACTTCCTCATGGCTATCCCGACGAAAGATAGGTATTATCTCATCCGTTGGTGGTCCTTTGGATTTTCCACTACCACTTTCAAGATCTGCTTTTCCATCTGTAACCATAATAAAGATTGGTAAAAAACAATACCAAATACATTATAATGTGCTATTACACAATAGTGATGTTGATGCCTCAATGTAGGATACACAATCCCATTTGCCTTTTAATTCCATCTATAAAATACATAGGAGTTAATGGCTATGTTTATATACAGCGAGTTGCGCTAGCCTCAAATTAATCAAGTGGTGTGAACTCGTGCACGGTGTAGCGAATGCCAATATTAACGCACGATCACTAGCTTACTATAATCCACCAACAGACCCCAGCTTAGCGTATGCCACTGAGTTAAAACAGACATGCATTAATAATTTTGAACTCAGTTAGGATTTGACCAATCACAATAAGCCTAGATGTAAACAGGAAATAAAATTACAAATACAAATATTTCGCAAATACTTATGCCAGCGTTACATAAATCGCCCAGCCTTGACATCTCGCAAGTAACGCCATGGATTAATATACACCCGGCGTATCTGTCAGGTCTGAATGTAGCCAATATCCCTTTAATTGGTCACAAGCTAATAGTCACATTCATTCTAGGAATTACAGGAGGTTAATGATTTTATACTGAATTTCATAGTAAACATACTGTAGTATCAATAAAAAACAAACTGCTCAAGTGCTTGTGCATTTGCCCATATATGGGCATGATGATACCTGTCACGAAAACTTGATAGTGTGAACAGGACTTATAAAGGCAGTGGCTATTGTTACACCAGTCTGAAACCAATTCTTAATTCTGATTAGATGTTACTGTTATAATCCAATTCATACACATAACATCAGTGATGCACTTAGCCTTATTTTAGCGGATGATGAGAGTGGGGCTTAATGGGCCTCAGTGACCTTGGTGAAAGTCAGTTGGGACTTCAAAGGGTTAAGATTGGTGTAACAATAGCCAATGCCTAAGAAACAAATGCAAAAATTAAACATACCTTCATCTTCTAACTCCTCCTCTTCATCACTGGACTCACTAACGTGTACACTTATCGCATTACTTTGTGCCTCTGTCCATTCAAAGTACAATCCAAACCCAAGATCGTAATGGTCAGTCGCAAATTCCCAAAATATACATGCGCCCTCATCGTGAGTTGGTACGCGCACCGTGACAGTTTCACCTCTACCTACCGTGATCACTGCCTCACTATCTTTAGATAATTGTTCTTTGAACTCTTTTATTTGTGGACGTGTCCATATCGAGGCATCAGCCACTGGAGTTTCTACAATTTTTTTTCCAATGAAAAATAAATAATTATTAAGATGTCAAAAGTAACATATAAACTTTTGTTTGCATGACAATGAACAGTTTTAGGAAAAATAATTTGCTGAATTGTATTGTTGATATGAATTACCGGTAAGACATTTAAGGTATCAGAGTGCAATTTCCAGGGACCTAAAGGTCTATATTCTCAAAATTCTCCACCAAATCCTGCATCCGCCCCAGATGTATGTACTTTATATAAAAATAATGAAATCACAATTTTAAGCACTAATTTGGGGAGAACAGGGTGGAGGAACATCATAGAATAGAGTATAGAGTACCAGTCGTGTCGTCACAATACCAGGTGGCGCTCTCTGTTGTCAACAGACGTTGGTTACCGTTCATTATGCCCGAATGAATCCATAGGCTTCCTGGAATAGGCATTTTAAAATCTAATATTTTACCATCAAAATGTACTAAAAGCTGGCATTACATTAGTTATCGAACACACATTTAATCATCAATTAAAATTTACAAAGAAAAATTAAGATACAACATCTTAATAATTAGGTTAGAAATTGGAATCAATGGTTTGTCAGCGAAGAAAATGGCGTCCGGTTAAGTACATTTTGCAAAGAGGGCAGCAGAGTAGTATCAGGTGGTATCGTGACGTAAACTCTGTAGTACTCTATGTTTTATACTCTCTTTAAAATGATGAACAATATAGATGACGTAACCATAAAACTACAGCCCTTTCCAATGTTTTTCACTCATACATAATAGCACTTGCAATACCATTTTACACAGCATTTACTTACCATCCACATTATTACTAGTGCTTTGGGTTGGAACATCACCATTCGGAGGTCCATTCTGTAGCTTCATGTTACTAAAGCTCTCTGACAAGTTTTCACCTGGAAATAAAACACAACAAAGTGGAGGGACATTATTAGTATATAATTATTTAATAATTACAGGTGTCACAAGTTAGAAAATCTACTTCTGGGAAATGTTGTTAAATGAGCTCTCTGAACACATTTAATTGTATTCTCCTGCTATGTATGATGATACCGCCCATTGGTACCGATTTCTGAGAGACAACTGATGATACAGTGGTAAAAACATGAAAATATTGTATTGTGAATTTGCAGGAGATAAGATATTTTCCAGGATATTCATGCTTGTTTGCGGGACTGCATGAGGCAAGATCGATTTCTGGGAGACAAATCTGACTTGCGTTCCACTATATTTATGCCATTATTTATTCATCTTCAATAGAAGACAGTCTTTAATTGCACAAGAACAGACACATCAAGGACCTAAGTTAAGAGTGACATAGGAGCAACATATTAGTATTAGTATACAACCATATTAATTATTGATAAAATTAATGCAAATACTTGTTGAATAATTGTTATTGTTACAATTGAATAATTGTTATTTCTACTATCAATTACTCATTCCTAAGCACATGATTTTATGTATTTTAATGTTTATTGATGTTTTGTTTTGTTTTTTTATACTCTCCATTTTTGGAGGAAATTTTAAATAAATTGAATTGAAAATTGAAATTATGTTTTCATCTCCAAAAATAGAGTTTGCAATTGTAACATCAAGGACAACTTGTGTTCTCGTCCTCTGAATTTCTGAGACGTGGTTTGTCAATGTACTTACTTGAATTTTGAGTTGCTTGCTGTGGTTGCTGCATGCCTTGTTGTTGTTGGTACATCTGCTGCATGTACTGTTGATAATAGTGTTCTTGCAATTGCTTAATGTATGCTTGTTGCTATGCAAAAAGGAAACAAATCAATAAAATTAAGAGACTTGGAAGAACGAATTGCTCAGAGATTTGGAAACAATTTTGCAATTCTTAATATTAGTCACAACATGTGCATAAAATCATAGAACTATAAGTTAGCATTAGGCTTTACAACCTTTGACCTTCATTAAAAATAATATTGAATGTAATTTGACCAAATAAAAAAGAAAAAATGTTTCTCAGCCACACATTTTGTTCATCTTCCAGTTATAGCCCTTAAAATGTTTTAAATCAATTTGAAGAGGCAGTTAAACAAAAAGACATAACTTATCATTTTCATTTCAAATTAAAAATGCACTTCCTTAAATTCATTTTGATAAAATTTTAACAATCAAAACGGTGGGGGAGGAGATGATGTCCATCTATCTCCATCTCCCCACCAAGTCCTCTCCCCAACAGATCCCCACTGTATGTCATACTAGGGGGTTGTTCGTACCTGTTGAGGGTTGGTGGGGTACTGCTGAGCCGCGTACGCCTGAACCTGCGGTAAGACTTGCTGGTAAATTGATTCTTTGATTTGCAACCTGAAACAAGGAATATGATGTTACAATGCAATGCAATATGAACTTTTATAACAGTGACACATATTAGAAAATACGACCTAACGGTGCATCCAAAGATAATCAAAAAATATATATATAATCAAAAAGCAACAAATAAATAAAATGAAAATCTTAACTAAATGAAAGAGATTTGTATATATTGCTCATATAAAAAAATTACTTGTTATTACTCTTTATTACTTATTTACTCTTCACTTTTTTCAACTTTAATAAAATATAAAAAAGTACAGTAAAAATATTGATAAAAAAAATGAAAATAAATGCAGAGGAACTAATAGAATCTACCAGAGCTGGCAATGTTATGATTACAGTAAATTGAATGTAAACACTGATATTAAGTGATAATCAGTCGAATGTTCTTCTCTGAAATCTCATGCGATTTACCATATTGCTATTTTTGAATGTAAACATTGAGATTTTTATGCGATAATCAGTTGAATTTTTTTTCCCTAAAATCTCATGAGAATCAAAATATTGCTATTTTGAATATGACCTTCTTACTTATTCTCATCATTATAAACTTTTGACAGACAGGTATTTCATTAAGATTGGGAAGAACAACAAATTTTGCATAATCTCCAGGTAAGACCTAGCTTCTAAAGAAGTTAAATGCGACAAAAAACAACAATAAATATAATACAAAAATCACATTGTATTGAAAACATTTGGCAAAGTATCAGGTTTTTATCAATTGTTTAGGCAATATCCTGATACTGACAATAATATTTAATCTCATATACAATTTAATGTGCATGTAAATTTTTAAATCCAAGACTAAAAACAAAATATAACCAGCAGTCAGTGATGCAAGTTTCAGAATCTGTCAATTAGATGATAAACAAAAATCATATTTAATTACAACTCATATTTTTTTTGTCAATCCTCCTGCAGTTCCTGTTTCTAATTATTATTGGTATTAATAATTTATTACTGTATTTCATTACCTTTGTTGCTCTTGTTTTAATTTTTCTTCTTCCAATTTTTTTCTAACTTCTTCTTGTCTAATTCGTTCTTTTTCTTCTTCTTCTTTCCTTATTCTCTCTTTTTCTGCTTCTATCCTAGAAAGAAGCATAGAGAATAATAAATAATTTATTTATATTTTATTTGTACAGTAACAATTTACACAACTGTAAAATTAAAAAAAAATATTTCTAGTACCTTTTCCGTTCCTTTTCTTCTTTCTCCCAACGTTGTGCTTCGATATATGGTTTTAATTTTGCGCACTTTGATGTTAAATGTTTACAGAATGCTAGCATAGCATCCGATTTGGACAAGTCGCCTAAAGATTGCCATTCTCGCCTACAAAAAAAATGAAGAAACAAATTAATCAACAAATCCTTTCCACATATTGACACAAATCATAATAAATAACTATCTAAGCTGTCACCATCTTTTTATTAGTGAGTCGATTAGCCAGTTAAGATGGGAACTGTGACATACAGCTATATCAACGCCAGTGGTGGAACAAGTCTTCTCAGAGAAGGACTCTAAACCATGTAGGTCCAGTGTACACACTTGGCTTCAAGAAGAGTAGGGGGTTATTCCGGTGTACTTGTCTATTTCAGCCACCCTGTGCGGCCACAGAAGTTTCGAGCGTTTACGTGCGAATCCTTCTACCACACTACGTAAGCGAAGACTCAGAAAGGAGAAGATACCACCATTTTATAATTTTTCTTGAGAGTACAAAGTATAAGCTAGACGAGGAGGGAAGGGTTTAGCAGTGGATTGTATGTACTGTTAAGAAAATGATACAATGTTGATCAACAAATGACAAAAATCAACATAATCATAGAAAATATATTACATCATGTAGGTAATTCTGAAAAAAACTGGCAAGCGTTAAGTGCATCTCAATGTTTCAAATAGATTGTTTTATTTATCTTCGGAAGTGGTGAGTGCCTAAC